GGGAAATCAACACGGGACGATAGTTGTACACCTTCCTGGCTTACCTCTGAAGCCTGTACCCTGTAATCTCTTTATATAGGTTAGCGAGAGCGCTGCGCCTGCGCAGTTTTAAATTTTGGCGCACACTTTAATATTTTGTAAGTCCAACCTCCAGTCTTCGATTAAACATCTTGACTGTACTTCATTGCATTTGATGGTTTGCAACCATGAAATACTGCAAAATAGCAGTATTTTTGAATGCAAAATTTAAAATATAGTGACCATGGTATCACCATGGTAGATCATGATAATTAGATGGCTCCATTGCATATCATGGTTGAATGTCTAGACCATGATATCACTGCATTTGATGGTATTTGATCATGAAATACTGTGAAACGGTGGTATTTTTTAGATACAAAATTACATGTTAACTGACCATGGTATACCATGGTATATCATGATTGTTAAATGGCACCATTGCATTTCATGGTTAGGAGCGCTCTTTTAACATGGAGTTTTCCCATTGAAAAAATACTGCCGTTTCGCAGTATTTCATGATCAGAAACCATCAAATGCAATGATATCATGGTCAAGAAACCATCAAATGCAATGATATCATGGTCGAGAACTTGACCATGATGTCATTGAATTTGATGGTTTCTGACCATGAAATACTGCGAAACGGCAGTATTTTTTCAATAGAAATTTCCATGTTAAAAACGCGCTGTTAACCATGAAATGCAATGGTGCCATTTAACGATCATGATCGGCCATGGTATTACCATGGTATTTCATTGCATTTCATGGCCATATACCATGGTCATACCATGGTATGGCCATGGTCCATTTCAACATGGTCATATATGTCGTTAAACAGCTCACAATGTCTTTTAAAAATGGCTCATATGTTTTGGTTATTCATTTTTGCTACTGCAAATCATTCTGAACTTTTACCTATCACTTGACTTAATGAACTTAAATAGGAAGATAAAACACTTAGTCTACGAGACAAAACTTTAAAAAGTTTACTATAAATAAAAAACATTACAACTTGACAAGGGCACAACACATAGTTTGACGTGCAGATTGACATTTATAAGGCAATATTTCACAATTCAATATTTTGAAATATTTATAAATATTATTGTTATCTTATCTTTGACAGAAAGGTTGTAGTTTTGTAGCCATTTACATTCCATTTGTCATGACTTCAAACAACACACACAACACACGTGCCGAGGATACTCAAAAGAATTTAATAGACTTTAATTGATCTCTCCTTTCTTTAGCTAAGAGGTAATTTTTAATTTTATCATTTAGTCAAAATATTACAGTATCAAGAAGGTCAAATTGTGGGTATTTTAACATATTGAAACTCCTAGATGTTTGAAAATCAAGGATTCAGAGCATCATAACCTGGATGATCGTTTTCTTAAAAACTTGTTCCTAAGAAAACATAGCAAAGAAATGTCTTATTGGTGAGGTAGTCAGTCCTATTCACACTTCTAGTGGAACATAAAGATGTTTAAGACTAGACCCTTACATGTATGTGACCCTGCATGAATGGAGCAGTATACCAAGATCTTTTATGTCGAAAATGTAGAATCGCCCAATTTAAACCCAAATCTACTTGTGTTTGTGTTTGGTAATTAAGTATTTATAAGACGTCCCATACAATTTTTTTGCCATTAGAATGAGGCAAAATGGTTTAAAAATAGAGTGAGATGTTTAGTAATGGTGTCTCAATCTAAATGTCAAGACATGTTCCTAAATAATTTCAAGATCAAATTGACGGATCAAATAAAAGTTCTACTTTCGTGGCAACAGTTCCTGAAAAACGAGGTTGATTTCATTATGATAATATCTCCTCCAATTTATCAAAATTTGAGCGCTGATTTACCTTTCACTTGGATCTTAAAAAGTCAACATATTCACTAATGAAATTGCCATTTGACATCTCCCCCTAATAAAATTAACTTTGTCATTCCAGACATGTTGACAATTTGACACCACCCCTTGTTTAATTTTTAATTTCATCCGCTTGTGTTTTAGTCCATAAAAGGTTGTTTGGGTTTTAATGCACTCTATGACTGGGGAAACAAGATAAACATTGTACGACATCCAAACCACTCTTTAATATAAACACCTAGCTCATAAACATTGTACGACATCCAAATAATATAAGCACCTAGCCTCAATGTGAATGCTTTTTTCCATAGACTTCATGTTAAAAAACCCATGAAATATGAACAGCTGCCATTATGAACACTTGAGCTGGTCCTATGGTGTTGAAAGCATTACATATGATACTACACAGGTTCTACTGTACAGCACATTGATAAGTTAATTTCATAATTTGTTTTGAGTAAAGAAATGAACAACAAATTTAATCATAATGTAAGTTCAGCCTGACAAAAATATTATCACAAATTACTGTACTAAGAACTTTGTAACCTATGTAGTATTAATGCTACATAAAAATGTTCATGTTTATTTGAATATTTATTCAACCCCGTCTATGTATTCTAGCTCTCATTAAAGTTCAAAATATATTTTTCTAATCAACATTGATTTGGAACACAAGAACTGTGAGGTGCCAATCATGTCAAGTTTTTTGTAAGCAATTCAAATACCAAAAGATAAGTTGTCTCTTTTCAAATAGAGCAAAATGCATATCTTAATTGGCGCAATTACTGACAGTGTTTATCATGTATTTTGGGGTTGTTTTGTTGTTAGACATAAAGTTTAACAAGAATGATAAGATGAATGAAATACTGTACCTATTATATATAGTTTTAAGCATACTGTATGTTGTATATATAGTAGTTAGTGCAAGTTTTTTTGGAGAGGAATATATTAAAATGATATTTTTATCAGTATCATGTTTTGTAGTTTTATGGAATGTGACTGGTATCTTGGCCCACAGTCCTATGTCTGTATGATCCTAAAATGCAATCCTTTTTCCTAATAATGTTCAACATGTTAGTACTGCTAAATTGATATACTTTAACCCACTTGAAATAAAATGTCCTATAGTATAGAACAATGATCAGCGATTTAAAAGTTGACTTCATGTTTTTTTCATACATTAGTTTAAGTGATACTTCAACTCACTTATGTCCTATATACAAGAACAATGACCAGTGATTTTAAAAGATTCTTCAATGACATTGTAACTTGTACAATGGCATACATGCAAATATATGCACCTCAGAGAGAGACATGTATATGTACATGTATACAATTTTTCAAACTGGCAGGGGAGTATAGAGAGTACATTATTTAGAATAATTGTTCTACTTTTACTTAGAGAATGGCAATGATTCCCCTAGAATCCTAATTCCATTATCATAAAATGATAAACTGGTCATTTATAGAAATGAATAACCTTATTACTGAGCCTTATAGATGCAAAAATGTCCAAAGTCAAGATAATTCAAATTGAAAGGGAGGAGAAGGGGCAGATCACTTTCAAAATCATTTAGGATTGCATTGAACTCCCCAGCATTAAAGCAAGTGGGTGCTGCACCCACTCGAGATTTTAATAGTAACCATGCACCCACCTGAAAATCCTTAAGTTTTGCACCCACTTGGAAATGAGAAAAATCATGAAAAATAGGCATAATTCGGATCTAAATTGGGAAAATGGGAATTTTGGACCTACTTGAGATAAAATCCTGATGAGAACACTGGATTGTCATAGTATGGAATAAAGTGAGACCTGTTTGACATATTGTTGAATTCAAGGTTTGATATGGAATATGGTCTAAATTGTGAAAATGGGAATTCTACACCCACTTGATTTGGAATGTAGCATGCAAAAATCTTGTAATGTGACAGTTTTTTTTGTTTTTTTTAACTTGTCTTATAAATAACCCGTGATGCAGCTTTAGTTCACAGGAAAATACAGTAAGAATCTACCATGTTAGATTTTGAAAGTATAGCTCTCCATCGTGAGGATCTCCCAGCTGAAGAATTGTGACATCTAAATTTGATCAGCGCCAGTCAGCGGCTTGCTGTTTGTCTCAAACTGTAGCCTACATATGGGCTCATATGTGTCTACTTTCCCCGTGCATGTAGGATCGCGGATGTGCTTCTATGGCGATCAGGAGTTCTAATGGTTTTTTTTCAATACCCATTTCCAATATGGCGGTTAAACGGAAATACTATCGACGCATGCGCAACTTGGGAAACGTCAAGCCGCCATATTGAATATACCTGGCCAAAACTTTTGACACGACCAATAAAATGAAGTCCTGATCGATACATAGGGCAGTGAGACGTTCTATAGTTGAGCTGAATGAAAGATGGCGATGTAGGATACATTTTCAGGTATATAATGTGCAACATGAGTCAGCTGAATTCCCTGAAATTTTCTTTGAAGTCAGGATTCTTAAGCTGTTGATTCTAGCGATAGAGAGCTATACTTTCAAAATCTAAGTAGCTCTCGACGGGAGTAAGTAAGAATATGATGAATCACATAAGCACATCAGTAATAGAAACTTCGAAAATTAAAAATTACTGAATCAACATCCTCCGATCACAGGGGTTCAAAATCCAGAATTCTGGACACCTGCTTAGGAGGATGTGAATCAACTATTGTAGCCAAGAATACAGTTTATAATGATGGCATGAATCAGGAAACAAAGCACATTTAATGAAATGTGCTTTAGAGTCTAATTAAGAAATTCTTAAATTTACGACACTTTTGTTAATGGTATCAACAATCTCAGAGCAACTGTTCGGTGCTGTCATGTCTTCTAATTCCCAGATGTTCATTTCTCAGGATGTTTCGAAAATAACGATAAGCATCAAATATAAAAGGCCACACATTTTATAAGCCAAACCACAAACAATCCAATATAAACAAATATTATGCATTTACAATATAAATAAATTTCTCCATAAAACACTGCACTTTGGTCCATTGATTCCTTATGTTTTAGGTTTTATTGACGAAGAAAACAATGAATTGAAATTTTGATGAAGATCATAAATTTATTTGAAAAATTTCTTACCAGAAAAAAAGCCTTGATAGCGGATTGACAGATGTCATTGGGCATGGCTTCACGTGTTGCTTGCTTTCGTCCATGTTTTATCTACGTTCATATATCCAATTGATAGCAAATATATGTCATTTACCGGTGATATATGTGAAGGAATGCATGTTGATTTCCAGTGTTGCAAAACGTCAGCTCTGTCTCAAGGCCAAACTTATAGTCTCAACTCAATTAGTTTTACAAGTTTATTTCATGCTTCATTTCGACAAAATTACCAAATATATCAAGACAAGAAATGTATCAAGTACAGAAGAACATGTAGTTTTTGTCATTATGAAAATCTCTTTGTAAATCACAAAAAAACTTCTTTAAACTTTGAGATTAAATATATTGGCGCCATCTTTGACATGTTTGAATTTACTTTTTAAAGTTTTCAAAATTCTGACATGTTTTCAGACGATTAAGCAATAATCAGGAATAGAGGTGAGTATATACTTCTTGTCATTACTCTTGATAGTACATCTGATTATATATGGTTCTGATTCTAACATAATAAAGCAAAATTGTTGCTATATTTTGAATAATACTCTATTATCGCCCACTTTATAAGATATTTTGATTTTTGATTGGAATGTTATAAAAACCCTTCGACCTGCACCTTCGACCTTCACCTTCGACCTACAGGGTGTCAAAAAAGCGGGCCAAAAAGAAAGTTGTAAAAACCCTTCGACCTGCACCTTTGACTTATTGACGTTTTATACTCAGTTATGCATGCAGTTAGTTAACGATGTGTCCCAGGAGAAATGAAAACAGTTTTTGAATTCAATCAAATGATTTCCATCGATCGTTTCTTGGCCTCCTCCGTTGAAGAGTATAAAGAATTGCACAAGGGCAATGGGGGGGGGGGATCTGCGCCAGTCTATTTTTGGTTCTGTTTTTTGCGCATGCGTATTAAATCCAGTAATTTGATTTGTTTAAATTATTAAATGCAATGGATATGTAGCACGATAATACCTGTTTTTTTTGTAAATTTGTAAAAGCTTACCTGTATGAAAATACACTGGAAGTCGTGGTGTCGCTACAGTAAAAAAGAGAATGACATCTTTATAGTCTCCAATCGATGCGGGAATGTTGATCGATCAAGTATATAATATTTCTACGGCTGCAAGGAGAAGGCATTCCATCTGTATCTATTAAAATTTGTCTGTTTAACCAATTACTAAGTATGACGGTAAATTAAATTTGATACGAGCTCTATGATTTTTTGAAGATTTTTTTTCGTTTACTGGAGCGACACCTTGGTGAACAAGAAGATAGTCTACTTCCCCCCCCCCCACGGCCAGAAATATAACATGCAGTTTTTCACCATTTTGAGCATATTGGTATGCTTTTTAGCCAACACTGTCAAAAAGCTCCCCCTTGGCCGGGGGAGGTACTGGTCAAATTTTTTTACAGGGGAGGGGGGTGCCGGTGAGACTCAAAATACCTACCCAATTAATTTTTAAAAAACAAGACTCACTTCCGGCGATTTTTTCAAAAACAGTACCCATACAGTTTTAGGATTTTTCAAAGAGTAGACCCAGTTTTAGGGATTTTTCATCAAAATGGGACTCATATCTAGTGTTTTTTCTTCAAAATGGGACCCACATCTAGGGGTTTTCCGGTGAAAAAGTGACCCACTTTAGCCGCACGTCCCCATACAGTATAGCCAATATGTGGTAAATCCTGGCTGCGGGCCTGCTCTTCACGACTGAGACATGGACTTGAGTGAATGTTTCTTACGTATTTCCTAATAGGCCTACTTATATACGTGTTTACAATTATATGACTTATATGGAAATCCTTGTATGGAAATATTATATAGTTTCGAAAGAAAATATGTCTCTTGCGTGGTCTGAGATCGGCAAAAATAGCTTCTACAATATTTTCTTTTTGGACACCCTGTAGGTAGAAGGTGAAGGTCGAAGGTGCAGGTCGAAGGTAGAAGGGTTTTTATAACATTCCTTTTTGATTTGATTTTTGAATTGAAACTCGAAATAACAAAATCTCCTGTCTCATTCTGTCTATAGTTTACATTCAGAAACTGGGGAGTTTTCTTTGGTGAACTCAAGATTCTACTGAACCCATATTTGTTTTGTAACAGCCCTGGATAGCAAGTTCAATTATTGTACAATAGCTAGTCGTTAGATTTATTATTTTGCAGGTTCAACTGCTTGCCTTTGAAGCAGCTTAACAGACTGTAGCCAGGATTTGGTGACCAGGGGTTCCATTTTTATGTTATTCACAAATCCCCCCCCCCCCTTCATTAGGGTTCCTCATGTACAAACATTTTTGTATAATTTGTACAATTTACACTCCCTCAAAAAAGTTTGGCAGTCCCCAATTGCAACTCCCCCAGTAGTTAGACAACTAAATTTTCTGCATCAAAATATTTTTCAGCAAATCTTTTACTCAATAGATATCCTGAAATCTAATTTGCCCCGAACCATTTCACAATGGTTTACATGGGAAGATAGCCCATGATGGGAATGACAATTTTCAAATATTCGTCAAAGTCATCAATTGTCTACCTATTGTAATTTGGAGGTAAAGGGAATAAAGTCAAGTTGAATTTAAAAGGTAGTCCAATGGGGAGCTAACATTTGATGGGATCGTTTAATTTTCGGAAGACCCTCCGAGCATGATTTTTACCAAGGAATATCAACTATTTTTTAATGTAAAATCCCATGCTCTAGGGTCTTCCAAAAATTAAACGATTTCACCCCGTGCCTAAGGTTGTCAAACTTTTGGAGAGAAGTGTAACTTTACTATGACATGTATTTAACAACATAAGGCTCTCGTCTTCACCATAACATATATGAATATATTTACTGATAGTTTTAAACATCACATTAATTTAATGTACCAGGTCGTTCAATAAGTTCCTGTAAAAACGCTCTCATTTTATTAGTTTATAATATTTTTCATTGAAATTTTTCAGTATGTGTGCAATTTATTTTCAAATCATAGTCTTAAATTAATTTGGAAATTTTTAACTAGTTTTTAAGTTATCCAACATCATGTAACTTCACAAAAGGGTATGCGGGGCACTGTTTAGTATTACGGTTTGGATCATTAAATCTAAACATTTTAGTCACATTTTACGATATATTTAACACCCTTTGATGTCTTTTTTCAATGGTTCACATTTTGTATGCTTTAAGTTCTTGTAGTCAAATTTTACAGTTATATGATACTACAGGTAAATGCTGCCCAGACTCACCCTATGCAGACAGAGCCTGTGGGAAATATTGGGTGCGGAGCAAATGAGCGGAGGGTGCGGAGCTAACGGTCATTTTTGAATTTAAATTTGGGATATTTCTGAAACTAAGCCGTTTTGGGACTTCAAATATACCAAGATATGTGTATTTGACACCAAATATCAATACAATTGTGAAAATAGTAGCGCAATTCATTCTATAGCGACGCAGTGTGCCTTAAACCTTTCCCAGACCTATATATTTTGAAATTATCCTTTTAATACTGAGTCCCCAGCATTCATAAAAAAATGGTGTTCAAGGTACACTGTTATACAAATTATTTTTGCATCTTGGAAGCCAGGCAGTATCTGTGTGATTTTATAAAAATTCGGAAATGTTTTTCAGATATGAGCCCCCTCTAAATATTGGGTGCGGAGGAGCTCCATAAACGTACCTCCGCACCCAATATTTAGAGGGGGCTCATATCTGAAGAACATTTCTGAATTTTTATAAAATCACACAGATACTGCCTGGCTTCCAAGATGCAAAAATAATTTGCATGGGTAGTGTATCTTGAACACCATTTTTTATGAATGCTGGAGACGCAGTATTAAAAGGATAGTCTCAAAATATATAGGTCTCAGAAATGTTTAAGGCATACTGCGTCGCTATAAAATGAATTGCACTACTATTTTCACAATTTTATTGATATTTGGTGTCAAATACACATATCTTGGTATATTTGAAGTCCCAAAACGGCTTAGTTTCAGAAATATCCCAATTTTAAATTCAAAAATGACCGTTAGCTCCGCACCCTTCGCTCATTTGCGCCGCACCCAATATTTCCCACAGGCTCTGTCTGCATAGGGTGAGACTCCTCCGTTGAAATTTAGCTTCACATTTTGCATGATTCGAATTATGTCAAGGTTTATTGTTCAATTTCTTGCAGTATGTATAATTCCAATCTTAGTGTTACTGTACTTCTACTTAATTTACTTCTACCTATTTTCGCAGATTTGCTGTTTTGAACATTTGCCGGCTACTTATTTTGGCAGATTTGCAATATTGCAATGTACTAAATGGTTCTAATTTACATGGAACTAAAATTACCAGGGCTACTTAAAACGGAATAATGAAACAATTTCCACATTTTGCATGCTTCACATTTATTCTTGCAGTACAATGTCAATATCAGAAACCGACCCCAGGTGTGAATTTTCACATTTTGCATGATTCACATTTATTCTTGCAATGTCAACATCAGAGACAGACAGACCCTGGTGTGAATTTTCACATTTTGCATGCTTCACATTTATTCTTGCAGTACAATTTCAATATCAGAGACAGACCCTGGTGTGAATTTTCACATTTTGCATGATTCACATTTATTCTTGCAGTACAATTTCAATATCAGAGACAGACCCTGGTGTGAATTTTCACATTTTGCATGATTCACATTTATTCTTGCAGTACAATTTCAACATCAGAAACCGACCCCAGGTGTGAATTTTCACATTTTGCATGATTCACATTTATTCTTGCAGTACAATGTCAACATCAGAGACAGATCCTGGTGTGAGCTCTTCAGACACGGAGGGAAGAAAAGAACTTAACATGCATTTATTCAATGAGGAATATGAGACACAGTATTTCGGTTTCACCCCTAAATCATTCAGTGATGGAGGTATGTTTGAAGTTCCTCTTCTGAGATTTACATTTAAATGTGTTAATTGCATAAAATAATAGCTCTTAGGCTACTGTGAAAATAATGAATATGAATAGGTATAATGCTAAAAATACTGGAAATATTATGATTAAAAAAAAATGTGATTGTTTTTTGAAGACAGATGTGATCTGCAAGCAAATACTACATATAGTACAAATAATGATTTTTTATTCATTTTTCAGTATATAACTCCTTTGTGGATTATCTGTATGAGGATGTGATTGTGTTAGAGGAGTATATGTCCCAGGAGGTAAATTCTTTATTATAAATGGCAAATTATATGAGAAATAACCATATTTTAACAGATGTTACAGAAATTCAAATGCATTGTTTGCCTGATAATTGGTCAACATGATTAGTTACACAATCAACATTTTATGGAATTATTTTACACATTATGTTCATGTTTTGTGACTTTATGAGCAGAATATACATTTTGAATCATTCACATTTTTACACTTTGTTTTAGTTCAATGATCTAATAAGCAGAATTCACATTTTCATTGATTCACATTTTCACATTTCTACATTTTCATTGATTCACATTTCACACTTTGTTCCAGTTCAATGACCTAGTAAGCAGAATTCACATTTTCATTGATTCACATTTTCACCTACATTTTCATTGATTCACATTTCACACTTTGTTCCAGTTCAATGACCTAGTAAGCGGAATTTACATTTTCATTGATCACATTTTCACATATTTTCACATTTCTACATTTTCATTTATTCACAATTTCACATTTTGTTCCAGTTCAATAACCTGATGAACAGAGAACAAATAAGGGAAGCTGCTCATAAAGTTATTCCAGTTTTCACAAAGGCTTTTGACAAGGCATTCAATAAACTTGAGGTAAGATATGTACATGTACTGCATACCTTAAAGTGTCCAAGTTTAAATACAGTGGTCTCCTCAGCATTGAAGCAGCAGCAACAAAATCAGCCAAATAGAATAGTCACCAATTTTATGAAAAATGGCAAATCAAATAGCACCAATTTACAGTTACATCTGTATTTCATACCATTCTAGAGATACCATACATACTTTATCTTTCCGTACACCTTTGTAGAGGTATTTGTTGGAGAACATACTGCACATTCCAGACAATGTGTTACTAGAAGAGGACAAAGCGCAAAGCAAGCAGTACACTGAGAGAGAAAATGAAGTCATAGATGAAGACATCAAACAGCTAAAACAAAAAATACTGAATGTAGGTACTACTTTTGTTCTACTTATGTGTCTCCTTTTAGGTGAGGAGTTAATTTCTCTATGAAACAATTTAAAGGAGTTTAATATAAGGGTGTGTCATACTGTACCGTTATCTCTTCTTAAATAAAGATATGCTATGAGTGAAAATAGTATTTATTCACATCATAATTACAAAAATGATGTTTAAAACACCTGTTTCCATGGCAACCATATTTTAAGGCAGCACTTGAGTGTTTTACCCTGCTTAACAATGCATTTCTTCAAAATTTACATTGCTGACTTCATGCTTGTTTACTTCATTCCTCCTTTATATCCCTCTTTTACCTTTTACTCTATTTTGCATTTGAAAACATGACCACTGAAAGAATTGTTGATGTAGCCTAGGTTTAATATGTTTTGTTTTTCTAGGCAAAGTACATGAATGCAGCTCTTAAAAGGGGTATCAAAGATATAGAACAGGTTCAAGCACATATAGATGCCATGTCAGCACATTTAGACACATTGAATAAAGTGTGCAAAGATGCAGGAGGTAAGCACCTTTAGATACCATGTCAGCACATTTAGACACATTAAATAAAGTGTGCAAGGATGCAGGAGGTAAGCACCTTTAGATACCATGTCAGCACATTTAGACACATTAAATAAAGTGTGCAAGGATGTAGGAGGTAAGCACCTTTAGATACCATGTCAGCACATTTAGAAACATTGGATAAAGTGTGCAAAGATGCAGGAGGTAAGCACATTTACATGCCATGTCAGCACAATTAGACACATTGAAAAAAGTGTTCAAAGATGCAGGAGGTAAGCACATTAAGATGCCATGTCAGCACATTTAGATACATTGGATAAAGTGTGCAAAGATGCAGGAGGTAAGCACATTTAGATGCCATGTCAGCAAACGTCAGCACAATTAGACATATTGAAAAAAAGTGTGCAACAATGCAGGAGGTAAGCACATTAAAATGTCATGTCAGCACATTTAGACACATTGGATAAAGTGTGCAAAGATGAAGGAGGTAAGCACATTTACATGCCATGTCAGCACAATTAGACACATTGAACAAAGTGTTCAAAGATGCAGGAGGTAAGCACATTAAGATGCCATGTCAGCACATTTAGATACATTGGATAAAGTGTGCAAAGATGCAGGAGGTAAGCACATTAAGATGCCATGTCAGCACATTTAGACACATTGAATAAAGTGTTCAAAGGTGCAGGAGGTAAGCACATTAAGATGCCATGTCAGCACATTTAGATACATTGAATAAAGTGTGCAAAGATGCAGGAGGTAAGCACATTTAGATGCAACGTCAGCACATTAGGCACATTGAATAAAGTGTGCAAAGATGCAGGAGGTAAGCACATTTAGATGCAACATCAGCACATTTAGACACATTGAATAAAGTGTGCAAAGATGCAGGAGGTAAGCACATTTAGATGCAACTGAACACCAACACATTTAGACACATTGAATAAAGTGTGCAAAGATACAAGAGGTAAGCACATTGAGATGCCATGTCAGCACATTTAGACACATTGAATAAAGTGTGCAAAGATGCAGGAGGTAAGCACATTTAGATGCAACATCAGCACATTTAGATACATTGAATAAAGTGTGCAACAATGCAGGAGGTAAGCAGATTTAGATGCAACATCAGCCTATTTAGACACATTGAATAAAGTGCAATGATGCAAGAGGTAAGCACATTTAGATGCAATGTCAACACATTTAGACACATTGAATAAAGTGCAACAATACAGAAGGTAAGCACATTTAGATGCCATGTCAGCAAATGTCAGCACAATTAGACATATTGAAAGAAAGTGTGCAACAATGCAGGAGGTAAGCACATTTAGATGCCATGTCAGCACATTTAGACACATTGAATAAAGTGTGCAAAGATGCAGGAGGTAAGCACATTTAGATGCAACATCAGCACATTTAGACACATTGAATAAAGTGCAATGATGAAAGAGGTAAACACATTTAGATGCCATGTCAGCACATTTAGACACATTGAATAAAGTGTGCAAAGATGCAGGAGGTAAGCACATTTAGATGCCATGTCAGCACATTTAGACACATTGAATAAAGTGTGCAACAATGCAGGAGGTAAGCACATTTAGATGCCATGTCAGCACATCTAGGAGGTAAGCACATTTAGATGCAACATCAGCACATTTCACAGATACTAGTTTTCTGCATGAAAAAATTAAAATTCTGCAAGAAAATTCTGCACAAATTTTCAAAAAAGTCCAAATTCTGCAATCTTTTAAAACGATGAAAATTGACGTAGCAACGGAAACGGAAGTCAGCTACTTTCTAGGTAAGAACTGCGCGTCATTAGCGAACTCGCTTTAGCGAATTTAAACGTGATAGAATGTTGAATTTCACGGTGAAATCGTACTTGTACTCAATAATGATTGATTGTTGGACATAAACAGACACTCTTCAAATACCCCGCAAAGGTAGGAGATCGTAAAATATGTAATTTCTGGAAATTTTGGTAATTCCGCGGGATTTTCATGAAAATCAGGGATTCTGCAAAAAATTGAAGTTTTGTCAAATTCCGTCAACGCCGCGGAATTACGGAATACTAGTATCTATGACATTTAGACACATTGAATAAAGTGCAATGATGCAAGAGGTAAGCACATTTAGATGCCATGTCAGCACATTTAGACACATTGAATAAAGTGTGCAAAGATGCAGGAGGTAAGCACATTAAGATGCCATGTCAGCACATTTAGACACATTGAATAAAGTGTGCAACAATGCAGGAGGTAAGCACATTTAGATGCCATGTCAGCACAATTAGACATATTGAAAAAAGTGTGCAACAATGCAGGAGGTAAACACATTTAGATGCCATGTCAGCACATTTAGACACATTGAATAAAGTGTGCAAAGATGCAGGACTGCAGTAAGCACATTTAGATGCAACATCAGCACATTTAGACACATTGAATAAAGTGCAATGATGCAAGAGGTAAGCACATTTAGATGCCATGTCAGCACATTTAGACACATTGAATAAAGTGTGCAAAGATGCAGGAGGTAAGTACATTTAGTGTGCTTAACTACCAAAACTCAAAAAAACAGCACTGGTAAGCACCAATCTCTAGGCTGGATGTCTCAGTTGTGCCGATTAGTCTGGGCATAAGGTTGTGCACGAGGTCAAGGCCACGTGGAGAACCTTGGTCCTTCTAGCGCTAGTTTATCCTAAATAAAGGATAGCACAACCTCTAGAGGCTAGAAGTGGTTCCAGAGTCATTGATTACTGAACATTTCCTAGGAGGTGATCTGAGGCATAGAGGGGGGTGCTTACCTTTTTGTCCAGTTTATTATAGTGTAGTGGGTGAGATTGCTTAACTTTACGATCTTGCCCTTTAAGTTAACTTCTTTCACAGATTGTTTTAAATGAGCATTAAAAACAAAATTGACACAAATAGAAAGCCCTGATCTTTATTAATCTTTCACCCGGAAAAAAGTGTTAAAAACATCAAATAAATCTGAAGAACATACAGGTTTAATCTTTAAAATAATCATCCCATTCATTTTGATTGTTGGTATTTGTAAATAATCTATGCATCATTAAATCATCATTTGGTTTAATTGATCCCAGGGAACATGTTGTTTTAAGATTTTATTGGCATCAACACAACTTGATCTTCCGTATTAGTCAGAGGGTGGAATAGCCTAGTGATGGGATTCAAGGGTTGTGAAAAAAAGGAATAAATTTTGTATGATTTATTTTCAGTTCCTGATACTGCTGAGACGATGAAGTTTTTAACAGAAAAGGTTTCAAAAATGCAAGAAATGATAAAAAAATACAACAGATATTCCAAATATGGTAGGCTAATTTTTCATCTCGTTTAGAATTGGTGCAATATCAAAGTATTCGACTATGAAACTAGAAAATATGATTGGTTAATGTGGCGCCATCTATCATTAATTAATAGCAACAGTGAGAGATTCTTCAATTGAAAATGAGAAATTATGAAATCAAAAATATCTTTATATTGTTTCATTTATTCACTTTTTTTGTGCCATACAAATAATTTACTTGGCTTAATTGAATGTTCTCTGAAACCATATCTGAAACCACATAGAAAAATTGTCCTACTTTTGCAGTGTGTATGCATGCATGTTCATTTGTGCAATTGCTATATTTTCCAGGGGTCAACAGTACCAAGTTCAACTACAGATATACAAACTATGAAAGATAATATAGTTGAACTGCATACGTGAGATTCAATATGTTTTAACCACATTATACTCCAATGCCCAAGGGCAGGCAAAAACAAAAAGTTGCATAATGCCTGAAGGATGTACTGTGTTGGCCCTTAGCCAGGGGGGCTCAAAAATTCTTTCAAAATCATGCAGTTTTTCACCACCTTGAGCACTTTTCAAGTGATTTTGACCATTTTTGAACCAATGTTGACAAAAGTGAACCTTCTTGGAATTTCAAAAATGAACAAATCCTGGCTTCAGGCATGGGCCCAAGAGTTGTTTGCCAAAAATGCTACACTGCTACATCTGCAAATAAACTGTGAGATAATATAGTTAATCTACATATACATACCTGCCAACCTAAGACCAAAATTTTGCGGTAGATTTTTTTTAAATTGCTGTAGTTTTGCGGTAGATTTTTTCAAAATACGGTAGTTTTTGCGGTATTTTTCAACAAAATTGCAGTAGTTTTTGCGGTAGATTTTAGAAAAAACGGTAGTTTTTGCGGTAGATTTAAAAAAAACGGTAGTTTTTGCGGTAGATTAAAAAAAAATACGGTAGTTTTTGCGGTAGATTTTAAAAAATACTGTAGTTTCAGAGGTTTGGGGTAGATTTTTGAAAAAAGTGTAATTTTGCGGTAAAATTTGAAAAAAGCGGTAGTTTTGCGGAAGATTTAGAAAAAATGCGGTAGTTTTACGGTAGATTTTAAAATGCGGTAGTTTTTACGGTAGTTTTTTAAAAAACCGGTAGTTTTGCGAAAGATTCTGAAAAATGCGGTAGTTTTACGGTAGATTTTGAAAAAATGCGGTAGTTTTTACGGTAGTTTTTTGAAAAACCGGTAGTTTTGCTGAAAATTTTGAAAAAATGCGGCAGTTTTATGGCAGATTTTGAAAATTGCGGTAGTTTTTACGGTAATTTTTTGAAAAAAACGGTACTTTTGCGGAAGATTTTGAAAAAATGCGGTAGTTTTACGGTAGATTTTGAAAATTGCAGTAGTTTTTACGGTCATTATTTGAAAAACTGGTACTTTTGCGGAAGATTTGCCAAAATGCGGTATTTTTCGGTAGATTTTGAAAAATGCGGTAGTTAAACCTTTATACAGTGCGGTTTTCTATATTAATACAATGTTTACGTGGTCATATTGTTGTTAAATCAGAACTACTACCTGAGAATTATACGAAACTATTATTTTCAAGAAAAAATAGATATACTATTTTCAAAAATTAATAGAGACTAAACACGTTTTTATTTTTCATTTACCATGCCTACAATGGACTGACAGCAACTTTGGATTTTAATGTTTCAGCAAAATGTACATATACAACTCTTTTACAACTCTTTTACAATAAATCTAGATTGATTCAGAATACGAACACAATATTCATATCTCCACTTTTATTCACCTTCTAACCAGTTTTTTAGATATCAGGATGTTTGGAAATACCATGAATGAAACATTTACTGAAATACAAAATATGGATTTTACACGTTTTTACTCACCATCTTAGATGATCTATCACTCTAACGAATTGAAATGACAGACATAATGTTCATATAACATTGGAATCATATGGTATTAAATATTGCTTTGTTCACTCGCAAGTCTCTAATGATATCAACGTGTTTGTCTGGCACAAATAGAAAATAAGTACAGATCAATTGTCTTTCAAAAATAATCTGTTATGAGCATTTGCTGAAACCTTTCCACTGAGACATCGTTCAGATTCGGATATCACAATACTTTTATAATAAACCAGAACTCAATGCTTTATTTTTTAATTATGTATTTGTTACTGATAAAATGTTCTGATGAAAAATACAACATTTTATCGTACTGTAAACAAATTGATTAAACTATGTATAATGTATATGTGGCGTTCATTACTGATCATAACAAATCAAACTACGCATATTTCATACGCTAAATATGCATACGCATTAATGATTTCCACTCATTTATTTAGATGAAGCGCAACTAAAATCATATTTTTGTTGCATTCGGAATAAAGATCTGTGTACAAAAGGGTTTGGTTAACTACAAAAATCATGGCAGAAAGAATTCTTTCTAGCTAGTGGTAGTTGGTGTTTGGACTGATTACACGCAAGCTTACTTATATAAATGCGCAATAACCTGATAACCACAGACCTGCCGATACCTATATATATTCGGGTTGTTGAAGGAATATTACAGGGACAGTACAGGGAGACTTCAATTTTTCAGCATTTCCCAACGAATAACGGGAAATTTTACGGTAGTTTGAACAAAAATACTGTTGATTTTAGCAGAAATACGGTAGATTTTCGAAAATTTACGGTAGATTTTCAAAAATTTACGGTAGATTTTACGGCCGTTCTCATGGAATAAACGAGTTTTTTAAATATAAAATTTACGGTAGATTACGAAAAAAATACGGTAGATTTTTTTACGGGCGTTTTTACGGGAAAAAAATGGTATTTTTTTACGGTAGTTTGTCATTTTTTTACGGAAAAACGAAAAATTTACGGTAGATTCCCGTAAAAATACGGTAGGTTGGCAGGTATGATATATGTGAATTACCTGAGTTTTAAACTCATTATGTCGTTACAAGGTGGATGTATTAAATTGACTGCATTGTAATTAGTATGTTGGGCTATCAGGTCAAAATGAAAGTTTAGCTCCTAAGTCTTCAGATACACAGACTATTCTATATGAGAGACATAAGAGACAACATAATGTAGATGAAATACATGCATAACATTAGCCTGAACACTGTTTTATTAATCCATCAAGATGCGGGTATCAAGCTGTGAGTTTCATGAGTCTCAGTAAATCTTGGATTCCTTACATCATCATCATTCTCTTTGTCATGTTGTGAATTCTGTATTTGTATGAGAGGTGGAAATAACCCAGAAATCTTAGACAATCTTCATGTAAAGATGAACCTCTCATGGATTAATCTGTGGTTCATCTTTACATGAAACATGATTCATCTATGAATTCTGGGTTAACCCCTCCCCCCTCTTTATGTATATATAGAGTATTGTAGAGCAATCTAAAAAATGTGGCTGAAGTCCCTTCTACAAAATGGAATTTAGTCATCACATTTGTGTATGGCCAGTTTGATTATGAGTAATAGATTGCCTGGAGGAGATAAATGAAAGGCAAATGTGTAGAATTATGTAATTACCTTCCATACATGGCAGGTGACCACTGGTTTGTTTGGTATTTTCTGTTGTTTCAGATAACATGTCAATCTTTCTTCAATAAACTTTGTGTGCTTGCTTAAGCAGTATTGCCTAATTAAACAAAAACTATAATTTTGTGTATGATTGTGTTACTAAGTAAAGTCCAGTTTGAATGTTTATTATAATTTGCATGAATAGTTTCATTAGGGTATCAATATCATACTCACTGAACAACTTGATTTTCAATATGAAAACTTCCTTCCTTGGTAATCCATCAAGATATAGGCTATATAGGCCAAGATATAGGCTATAGTTTTGAAATTTTGGAAGCATTTCCTAATTTACAATGCAACTCAATACAATACGTGAGGAACAGGACAAATCAACATTGGGTATATATAATAAAACAAATAGTGACTGCCTTATTTCAAGCAATAGTGTGAATTATTTCCCCAATGGAATATCCTCTAAAATGTACTAAAAAAATGTACTGCCAAATCCACATTACTGCATATTAAATCTTCAATATTTCATTAGATATCTCAACTCTTCATCCATGAAATAAAGTTAGATTATAAGAAAACATTGGTATACATGTGTTTGTTTAGATATTTTACACTCTCTAGCCTATATTAATGATACATGTGCATTGTGATAATTATACTGCATACTTTTCAAGCATGGTCATGGACAAAGTGTATTGACTATACCTGTATAAGAGTTTTTCACGAATAGGCCCACGGGTATTTATTTGAAATAGGGATGTATGAAAAAGCTCATAGGAATTCTTTCAAGGGCCTCTAAATAAATGCCAACTGGGTGAAACATTTAAGAAAAATAAAAAATTGAAATAAAGTAGCAAATACATGACAAAAGTTTGCATATCGGTCAACATTCACAGTGTTATCAGACTATTGCATGAGTATGATTTTTCCCTCTTGATAAAAGCCCACCCCTTGTGAAATAAACACCCAGTGGGCCTATTCGCGAAAAACTCTGGTATACATAATTGAGAAATGTAATAGTAGAGATTTTTATATTGGATTATTATCATCCAGTTGTTAATAAAATATAATCAAATACCAAAATATATCTATCTTATCATATTATGCTTAGGTGTGACTCTAAACTGAAAACAAGAAGTTGAGTATTTGTTTGTTAGCAGAAAATGTGTTTGTGATGGGAGATTGTGCTATTGAGCATATAATGTGTTTGTTAGGAGATATTGTGCTATTGCACAGAGAATGTGTTTTTGAGGAGAGATTGTGCTATTGAGCAGATAATGCGTTTGTGAGGAGAGATTGTGCTATTCAGCAGAGAATATTGTGCTATTCAGCAGAGAATGTGTTTGTGAGGAGAGATTGTGCTATTGAGCAGATAATGTGTTTGTGAGGAGAGATTGTGCTATTCAGCAGAGAATATGTTTGTGAGGAGAGATTGTGCTATTGAGCAGATAATGTGTTTGTGAGGAGAGATTGTGCTATTCAGCAGACAATGTGTTTGTGAGGAGAGATTGTGCTATTGAGCAGAGAATGTGTTTGTGAGGAGAAATTGTGCTATTCAGCAGAGAATATTGTGCTTTTGAGCAGAGAATGGGTTTGTGAGGAGAGATTGTGCTATTCAGCAGAGAATATTGTGCTATTGAGCAGAGAATGTGTTTGTGAGGAGAAATTGTGCTATTCAGCAGAGAATATTGTGCTATTGAGCAGAGAATGTGTTTGTGAGGAGAGATTGTGATATTGAGCAGAGAATATCGTGCTATTGAGCAAAAATGTGTTTGTGGGGAGAGTGCGCTAATGAGCACGGAATATCATGCCATGAACAGAGAATATATTGGACAGAGAATGTATTTGTGAGGATAGATTGTGTTTTTGAGCAGAGAATTTGCCAGTGTGAGCGTGAATTGAATGTTTTCAGGTGTTTGTGAGTACTAAAATCGAATATTAAATTAGTTACATTGTTGTTTCCCTGTTATTCTCGGCTTTTTTCTATTTTCGCGTCGCATAGAATACTTTATATAATATTGTGAAAGAGTTCTTCAAATTGCGTTTTAGTCATTTATTGGATTTCGTTTCGTATGTTGCAGAAGCCAATTCCCACATTTATAATTACAGCTCTGTAACGATAGATTTGATTGGTACAAAGTTTTTAAATCCACCAATCAGAAAGCTTGTTAGACGAGCACGGACAAGAGAGGAAAATTCAAAACAACGTTTTCAGATTCAAACTTGCTCTTCTATTTTGTTCGATTTCTATAGATTTTAGTAAATTAAGAAACTCAAAACATTTAACAACTTTTGAATAAAACATAGAAACATAATTTAAGTTACTTTCCATCAGAAAGAGATCACGGATTTTAGTGAAATTTGTCGTTAAACTTGGACTTCCTGCAGCGGATTCTTAAAAATAAAAAAAGTTAAAAAATTTTAGGCTAGGGAATCTAAAGTATTCTTAAGTTTTTTTTGATAAAAACGTCTTCAAAGCATGCAAATCGTGCATCTAGAATTATAGCTGGAAGAAGACCGCTGAAATTTCGCAATGAGTAAGATAAACACACGAAGGCGAGGTCCTCTGGGAGGGCTCGAGACGTTTGGAAAGAATAAAGTTTCCAGCAAACCATCAACACAGGTGCAGTATTTCAGATAATTTTCATTTAGACAATCTATGTTTTGTTACACCTAAGCTTACATACATGTAGATGTACAGTTGGGGACAAAAATAAATGACAGGTCGATTTTCGATCACCATTTCCTAATTATGGTGGTCTGAAAGCCCATAATTTCCAATATTGTCTAGATACATATCCCTTAAAATTTGTATATTTTACATTTTGTATAATCTCATCCACTGATTTATGGCCTCTTGTAAATTCTCTTATTTTTAACATGGGAAATCCTCACTTCAGCAAATCCACCTGTCATTTATTTATGTCCCCAACTGTAGATATTTTAGCGAGCTTGGGACCCAGGTGAGGTCTTATCAAAATTTATCAGGAGAAACTAGGTCATGTTTTTAAATTTTTTCAGTTGGGATTTAGGTTTGAGCGTACATGCCAACAACAAACACATTCAACTTACTTAACACAGCTAGCTCAAAAGCTTCTGTCAACCCAGTAGAGTAACATTCAACAGTGACATTTTAGCATACAGTTAAACTAGGTTTATTGAATCAATTTAAATACATGAATAGGACAGTAATTCTTATCCCGTATAGTCCTGACACAATAAGTAAATTCAAGTTTCTAATAAGGTAGGGACCAACATGAAATCCTGAATACAAAAATACATAATTATATTGCAAATACCAAATCTTGTATACATCCACTGTTCCACAGCTGGATGAATCTAACTGCAATTCAAGATGTTTGCCGAGATTTTTCATTTTCGATAAACCTCCGATTTCAGCTAAACAAAGTTATGAATCTTGATTCAAAAAGTTTAGTCTTTGACAGCTGGTCTTTGAACAATGAACGTATAAATCTTCTGTTATATATTTTAGGGCTTGAGCAAGCTATTGGTAGCACTTTTAGTCCCAAAGAGGTGGATTTTCAAACTTGCTAGAAGAAAACATTTTCCTGAATCATAATTTTACTTAATGTCTTACCTTTTATTTTTTATTGACCCAGAGATAACTTTTTGCATCGATATCGGAAAAATCAGGATGATATTATAAGCCCCAACTTTGGCTCTTCGGAAAGGACACACACATAATTGCAATTATTAAAGGGTATATATAAGTTTCATTATATGTTCCGCATATTTTGTTTTAAAGCATGCACATATATGGTTCTAAATAACTAATAGTTTTTATCTGAATCATTATCATAGAAATGAAATAGGAAGACCAGTCTCGTCACTTGGCCTGTGATTTTGGCAAAAAAGTTCAATCATTTTTCCAATTACGATAATACTTAATAACGTTGAATATCCTGTTGATTTTTCCTTCTGTCTGAATCATTACAAAGTCCTTAATAATGTTTGTTTATATATGAGACTATCATGATAGTATATATGTGTACCATATGACTAAACTACACTTGTCCAAAGCTCTTCGGAAAGGACATTTTTTAGTGTATTGCTAAATGCTGTTAAATAGATTGAATTTGTGGGAGCAATTTTCGGTGATTGTACATTTGTTTCTATTCGTGTATTCATGTTTTCGAGATTTACCACAGATTACAACATTATCTGCAATTTTTCATAGGTAGATATATGGGCGATAATAGGGCAGAACATCATTAAAGTCATCACTTTAAGGCTATCATGAATGTACTTATAGTTTTTTTAGCTGCTGGGCCAGGGACACATGGGCCTATGTAACAGCATTATCCATAGAAACGACTCAATTGTTGGTGGTAATTGTCAGTGAATTAAACCTATTATCACAGGAAAAATAGTGATGAAGATACAATTTTATATTTGCGGCATTCTTCATTTGCAATTTTACACTTGAGTGTTTTAAAGGGTTTTACAGTACTGTCCAAATCAAGATTCAATGTAATATTTGTAAACATTGTGCTAGTGCCTTTATACATCAGTAGAAAATTTAGTTATTGACATCCAATACAGCATTCCTAATCAGAGATTGGATTGCTCTTCGGAAAGGACACATTTACTTTTGTAGTTCCTGTTTAAGTCTTAGTTACTTCAGTAAAGATATTTTATGTATAAAAGTTCATCAGAAAATATATTCCAGTGTGTTTCTCTTTAATATTGTTGGTAAATGCACTGTTTTGACAGAGTTTGTCTTTTCCGAAGAGCTCTTCGGAAAGGACTTTTTTCTTGTGTCGGAATTTTAAAATTGATTTTACAGGTATATATGACAGTTCAAAGCAACTAATTTGTTTTGAATATTCAAGAAACTAAATGCATTTTGTTTTAAAATAGTTTTTAGTGTATCATATTACTTCATTCTTGAAATACACATGCTCTTCGGAAAAGACATTTGCGTGTCGGAAAATCAGTTACTTATTTTGAGAGCCAATATCTCAGGAACCGCTACAGCCTTTTCTATAATTTTTTTATTGACAGAATTCTAACATTCAGTACTTTTGATATCATCTTAAAAAAACAGTAAGCAAACATTGGAAAATATGTTGTCTTTTTTAACATAACATTTACAATGAAATGTTACACCAACGGTTGTGTGCTACAAGCGGTTATCAAAACTCTATTCACTATTATGGACACACTTGTTGCATATCATTTTAAAGCAAATTCCTTAATCTTTCCAATGCAGTCAAATTACTTAAACTTACTCTCTTCAAGTACATGCTTGAAGTATCTTTGTAAATGTGGATTTTTTCTTGGGAATTTGTTACATAGAGAATAAGGCATATTTTGATACATGAAAATTTATAAAAAAATTATCATTCATCTTTCAAGAAAATGATATCTTCCTCAGACATATAGTGGATATACCTAACAAATAAGACTGATTTCCCATCTGTATCTTAAGCCTTGCATTTTTTCTGGGTGCCAATATTAAAGTGCTACCAATAGCTTGCTCAAGCCCTTTACCATTAATAAATAATGAACTCACCGTTTACTTTCTATTTCTGCCAACCACATTCATAAATTGAGTGTAATTTTTAGTTTTGTACATTTATGCAAAACACAATTGTGAAGTTAATTTATAATACATTTCGAAGCACAAGATGGTTTCCGGATTTTCATATCATTGATTTTCATTAGATATTATTTTGAAATAGCAACTCTAATTTCAACATGTGAAAGAATGCATGCACTGCACACAATTATCTATTAGTCTTGATTGTTTTAATTAAATTGATCTGTGAACTTTGATTGTATAATTGAATGAATTATAGAGGTGTTGTGAAAACATCCCGGGCAGGATAAAACGTGTTATAATTCAAACATTGTTCGAGCATTTTCATTGGTTAACAGTTTCAATTAGTGTGATATTTGAATTTGAACTAAACATGTTCATTAACAAACTGAAGCTGTGAACTGGCAAGGAAGATAATTTTGTTCAAAATTGAAGGTTCACATTTTATTAACTGAGTTGGAAACAAGATGCTTTCTATGACATGCTGATTAACCAGTATCTGGAAAAATATCATACAGAAAACATCTGAAGTTGTAACTATTTCCTACAATGTCTTCTTTGGATAGTGATGTAAACTATTTAACTCAATGGATTAAGCGTTTATTAGGAAAGAACTTATATCAAACTAAAACACTTGATGGAGAACTAGAACAGGTTGGTGTTAATGCATTAACATGGATTTGCTCACATTAACTCAGTTTGGATTACCAGATGCCATTAGATTGCCCACTTGGTTTAGATTACATGTATAATATTGTTTGTAGGCTAAGCTGCTTTGGTTATTTCAAGTGAAGCAAGTGACTGTGTGTCTAACACACACAGTGTAACTTGGGTGTGGTTAAACTTATGCAAAAACATATGGTGACCTTATTTTGACCAGCTAGCTGATAATGTTATAATTAAGATTTAGAAATGTGTGAAATGAATGAAACATTTATGGAAATGTATCTTAGCATCTAGCAATGAATTTGTGAATGCTCATTGTTCAGAGTTTAAGTTTAGTACTTATGAAATTAAAGTATCTAATTAACATTTTAGAGCAAGAGTAAAATGCTTTGAATGTAGATCTAACAATGTCTTAATAATTTGGGATATATGATTTGATAATACAGTCTATAAATTGTAGCTGGAGTTGATTTGACTGGCAGAGTGCAGTAGCCATCAAGGCTCCCAAAAGCCTGGCTTACAAATTTACTATGTTGCACTGTTGTGTCATTTATGTTGGCTTTCTGCTGAGAAACCATCTATCTGATTCAACAGACCATTAAGAGCCACATTTGATTAAATAACTGTTATTTACTGGTTTTAGATACATATAGATGAGGATGCAATGGTGCACAAACCCCTCCCTGTCCAAAAGCGGGTTGCTGATAGGTCATCCCCTAGCTCCAAAATTCCAAAGAAAAGAGCTGCCTTTGGGGATATCACAAATAATGTAAGTTAGAACTTTCTCAATCCAAATGCTATAATACTGTACTCCGGGTAAATTTCGACGCCATAAAATTTTGCGATTTCTCAAAATTGCAATTTCGCGGCTATTTAATTTTGCGGATTTGAGTTGATGACATTTTGCGGATTGCACAAGTTGAATTTTTTCAGATTACCATGAATCATTGATGCGTATCTGGATATTTTAGCCCAGTCAGAATCCGAATGATGTTTGTATTTTCCACGTTTAGGGCATTTATTTGAATATTCTTGTATGGCTTTTTCAACTTCAATTTGTAGGATATCATTGTCGTCAACAGTTCTTGCCTTTGTTGGCCTAACAACAAAATGTTAGACATTTAGTTTGAATTATCGCCCAACAACAAAATGTTAGACATTTAGTTTGAATGATCGCCCAACAACACTGGAGGAAACATTTTACACCAAATGAAACATATCAAAAGTCCCAGGCCAAATCCCCGGGGATTTTAAATACCAATTTCGCGACGATAAATGTTCGCGATTTTGGTACATTCGCGAACAAAGCGAAATTAAATCGCACGCAAACAATACCCGGAGTACAGTATTATAAACTTCATTGATTCAGAGCTGTCTCCGAGATGCGAAAGGAGGAATTAAAAGTTAGAGTGAATCATAAAATTACTTCCCAGATTGTCCAAAAATCTTAGCTGAATGTTTTTAGCTATCCCAGTTTGAGTACCCCCATAAATGTGGGGTCGAATTGGCGTTTTTTCTTATATTTTATCATTCTTTTCGACCCCACATTTATGGGGGTAAGTTTGAGAGTCCTAAAATTGAATCAAGCAATATTTTTTACCAATTAAAATGTTGATATATTTTTTATTCCAGTCGCTAAAACAGGCAGGATTAAAACCTGGTCAGAAACCAGTTCTCAAGAAAACAATTAAGAAATCCACAAAGACTGTTACATCGTCACAAGAATCTGTGACATCATCACAAGAAAATGTGACATCACAAAAATCTGTTACATCATCTCAGGAAATAATCATATCATCTCAAGAAGAATTACCCGATATTGAGCTTTCAGCTGATGTCATTGACCTTCCATTGTCTCAAGAGTCAAAAGGCCAAAGTTCACAACCACACTGCAAGAGTCCAAAATCATCTAGGTAAGCACTGTTGGATTACGGGAAAAAAAGTCAAGTACAGGACTTTCAAAGGATTTTCTGAAAAAATAATGTTGACTTTTTCTCATGTGGGTACATATTCTTATTAAGGTGAACAAAGGTACATCAGCCTGGTGCGTGGAAATTTTCAACTGAATGGAATGCCTGGTTTGTGGATTTGGTTGCAAATTTATGACAGGCTAAACTTTCGTAATTTCGGCAAAAAAACACATAGCAAAAACCCATCTGTCTGACCAAAGTTTCATATGATATGAACCGATTGCTAGAAATGACAATGTTTTTTCTAACAATGTGATCAATGACCGCTAGTCTTTATATTTTTGAAATTTGATTTTGCAGTGTTGATCCAGTTGTTGTAGATGTCAAACAAACTCATAATGTTGCCAAGCCAAATACAAACGCACAAGTAAGTACAGTAGTTAACAGTTTTACAGTGTCTTGGTATTGGATAGGAACATATTGATCAAAAAGATTATAAGAGTAAATGAAAGAATTTCACTATTTCAATGTCAGTCGTAACCAACTTGATAGCCAGATGCATTTAAAAATCATGATCTATTCTACCAGTGTTGCAGACACGGGGATTTCACTAGAATTTCTCACAACAGGTTAAATAAATTAAATGAAAACAATGGGCATAACTAATGGAAATCATAAATTTAACATGGAAAAGTTGAAAAGTCTCTGAAAACCTGAAAACAACTGGTGAAAATAACCCGTTGCCTGCTGCTGATGAAACCCCTGAGGCATGAAAGTTATTAGTGACTCAAGTCATGGAAACAACTGAAATAGAATTGATTTTGAAAAATAGACAAAAGTCAATGAAAAAATGTTACTTTTTCAATTCATTGATATGTCTATGTCCCACCATCTTGTTGCATATTGCCATTTTACTTCAGTTGATAGCATCATTTGTAATAATCTACTGAAAAAATTGATTGCAATAGAGACTTAAAACAAGACACTTCAATTGTAAGTAAAGATTGAAATATCTTATTTGATATTTCCTCAGTGTGGACTTAAATAAAAAATATTTAAATAAACTAATGCAATTTACTTTGATTTGATTACAGATTGAACAGTTAACAGATCAGTTAGATTTCATTGACGTAGACAAGGAGCACATGCTTGACACAAACCAGGTGGCGCTGTATGCACATGACATCTTCCAGTACTATAAACAGAGAGAGGTATGCTGTATTTTAACCTCAAAGGAACAATGCACATTCACATTTTAATTTCAAATATTATTAATATTAATATTATCTTCAATAAATGACCTTTCTTATACTGTACTCCGGGTATTGTTTGCGTGCGATTTAATTTCGCTTTGTTCGCGAATGAAGTAAAATCGTGAACAATTATCGTCGCGAAATTTGTCCTTTTAATCCCCGGGGATTTGACCCGGGACCTTTGATATGTTTTGTTCAGTGTAAAACGTTTCGTCCAGTGTTGTTGGGCGATAATTCAAAAAAGGCCTAAAATGTCTAACATTTTGAATTGACTTATTAGGCCAACAAAGGCAAGAACTGTTAACGACAATGATATCCTACAAATTGAAGTTGAAAAAGCCATTCAAGAATATTCAAATAAATGCCCTAAACATGGGAAATACTAATATTATTCAGATTCTGAATGGGCTAAAATAGCCAGATACGCATTGATTCACGGTAATCTGAAAAAAATTCAACTTGTGCAATCCGCGAAATATCATCAACTCAAATCCACGAAATTGCAATTTTGAAAAATCGCGAAATTTTATAGCGTCGAAATTTACCCGGAATACAGTATTGAAGCAAGTAGACATTGCCCCCATGTGAAGTTTTCACAATAGACTTGCACTCACTATGCGAATAATCATCGTGAAAATGGATAATTTGGAAATGAGAATTTGGCACCTTCACAGGGCAAAAATCCTTGAGAGAACACTGAGCCAGCCCCCAATTCTATGACATGTTTTATTTTTGTAATATCTGTTTCAGCTGAAATTTGGAATTGAGCCTTACTTAGCCAAACAGAGTGATTTAACCCAACACATGAGGTCAATCTTGGTAGATTGGCTAGTGGAGGTACAAGAAAACTTCGAATTGAATCACGAGACGTTATACCTAGCTGTGAAGCTTGTTGATCATTACCTAGAGAAGAAATACGTCAAGCGGGAAAATCTACAACTTGTTGGGTCCAGTGCTTTGTTCATATCATGTAAATTTGATGTAAGTTTCTTTGTTTGTTTCTTATAATTAGAAATTTTGACGAAAATTGGAAATTGTAATGAAAACAGTTGCAAAATTTTCAAAACAGCTGGCAGTTTGGCCAGGCAGACATCTTTCATGAATAATGCATACGAGTGGCAGATGACTCATTATTAGACCTTGTTGGGATGAATAGTGGGGGGTCACAAGGGTTTGTAGCCTGCGAATATTATATTTTAAATTAAACAGTACTCAGTATTCATATTTATCAGATATATTATTGATAAAAGACATGTTATGAATTAAGAGATGTGACGCCTATAAATAGGACGCTAGAGTCCATTATTGCTCGAATATCCATTCCACTCCATTACTCAGTTCATCGTATTCAGTCTGATTTGGAGCTCATTCCTCACTTCTGTTGATCCATTATTCCTTTCCTCATCCTCAATTTGATGTAATTATAAATAACAGGAACATAGATAGATTTATTGACACCTATATATAGGATGCCTGGATGATTGAAATACACAGTCTATAGGGCTCTTGCCAGACTGGCGCAGCACCATACTCTATTAAGCTCCCACTACAGCCTATTGGCAGATATTGATTGTTCCTACAGTCTAAACTTGACTGAATACATCAATATCATGTAAAAGGATAAATTATAACATAATATGATTTATCATGACTGGACGATTATACTGAAGATGTTTGCACCACATTGTAAATATTTCCTGGTGAGAGCCCTGGTCTAGTCCTTTTACTCAATCCAGAACTCTTCAGTTTGGGGCGGGACAAATTTTTTGTTTCTATTCATCCATTCTATTTTCTCCTCTTCCCTCGTTTCAATACAGAATGTGTCTCTAATTATGCACTCGTTACAGTGGCAAACACCCGTCACCGATTCGAGATGTTCAAAATGTGCCATTCTTTCCTGCACAATATTGTTGAGTTTTACAAAACTCTCTTCTAGTGCTTTTAATTCTGCCTTTAGGGCATCTGTACGTTCTTCATGCATCTTGTTGGTTTTTTCAAGTTGCTCCAGTTTCAGCTCATTTTTGCGTATCTGGGCTCTCATGTTGGTACCTGAAAATAACGGTTAATAATAAATGAGAACTTTTGTATTATGTAATTTGTTATTTCTATATTTAAACCTGAGTACTGTAGATATGCACATAATATTATCCAAAGGAACTCTTCTACACCTAGGAATGTATGACTTAAACTTTTGAATTATAAAATGAAAAATTAGAAATCATTAATTAAAAGTGGATCTCATCATACTTCAAGTAAATTATTCGTTTGAATTTTGATATAAATATAAATTGCAAAAATTAACCCTTTCCCGACGTGAATATAAAAGGAAAATGTTGGCCCTGGTGACGGATAAGTAAGAGCGGTTTTTAGGGGAAAACTGCAAATAACCTATGCCCCAGGACCTATACCTATACCTTGAATCGTCGTGAAAGGGTTAAATGGCAAAACTGCAAAATCATGAATCCAATCAATGTTACAGGAATTTTTGATTTTACCTAAAAAAGAATCGACTGATTTTCAAATTTATTGAATTTACCTTTATTTTCCTTCCTCCTGGGACCTTCCTGTTTGTCTGTTGATCCTCTGAACACTGTCCCAACCACTTGTACTAATAGGACTAGACCAAATAACATCTTTGAAGCTTATCAGAATATCCCTGTCAAAAGTTTACAAATTCACCTGTTGCAATTCGTCAAACTTTCAAGATTGTTATGATTTGTTGATAAGAGCTGTTGCCAGTTCAATCCAAAGATCTAGAATGATTGTTTTATTTGTATCTAGTTAGTTATGTAACCAGGTATTTTGCTCAGTGTGATGTCATAGGAAAAACAAATAAACTTATTGTTTAAAGTTTGTGACATCATAGTTTCTAAACTGGTCTGAGTGACAGTTGCTCAGTTGCTAGGTGATTGGTCTGTTTTGTTGTTTGGTAACTTAGTATTGTTGTGACATCATTATACAATCAATGTTTATGTTATGAATGCCATTAAAAGGAAAAAAATGCAACATTTTGAAAACAAAAACAACTTGATCTTTTTCTTCACTCCTTTGTTAAAAACCTTAAATTCTTACATATAATTTTGACACTTCACACCTCAAAATGTTAAAGGTATAGTTGCAATTGGTTAAATATATTTGTATGGTTCCCTTGCATTAGGTTTGTTTCTTTAGCATTCCAGATTGGCGACCCATACTTTAGATTATTTTTGGTCCACCTTAGTATTTCATGATGAGTGATTTCATTTGAAATAGGTTTGCAAGATGAAAAAGTACATACGAAAATATCTTAATTTATTTATTTGTATGTGTGTTCACAGGAAAGATGCCCACCATGCCTAGATGATTTCTTGTACATATGCGATGATGCCTACAATCGGGAAGAACTCCTGGAGATGGAACGTGATATTCTCAGAGTCATCAATTTTGACCTCGGTATACCACTCTCATACAGATTCCTCAGGAGATACGCCAAGGTATGTTCTGTGTAACCCCCCCATGGATTTGAATAAACTGGCTCATTTTATATTTATTTGGGCTAGTCCATTCTCTATCTGGGTATTGTTAGAGGGGTGTCATCTCTCTTTCTTGACTCCTAAAAATTATTTTATATGGATAAAAAGAACATTGCATGTTTTTAAAAATCAATCATTTTTAGAGGGAAATTAAAGAGGTATAACGTATTATTGTGACATCATGTATTATTGTGACATTATATATTATTGTGACATCAATGTTTTTGACATGATTGATATTAATATAAAAACAACCTAACAACACTCATATTTCCTGTTTTTAGTGTGGTCAAGTTCCTATAGAAACATTGACTCTTGCTCGTTACATCCTGGAGTTGTCGTTAATGGAATACCAGTTGTTATTAACATAAAAACAACCTTACATTGTTCATATATCCTGTTTTTAGTGTGGTTAAGTCCCCATAGAAACATTGACTCTTGCTCGTTACATCCTGGAGTTGTCGTTAATGGAATACCAGTTGTTATTAACATAAAAACAACCTTACATTGTTCATATATCCTGTTTTTAGTGTGGTTAAGTCCCCATAGAAACATTGACTCTTGCTCGCTACATCCTGGAGTTGTCGTTAATGGAATACCAGTTGTTATTAACATAAAAACAACCTTACATTGTTCATATATCCTGTTTTTAGTGTGGTTAAGTCCCCATAGAAACATTGACTCTTGCTCGTTACATCCTGGAGTTGTCGTTAATGGAATACCAGTTGTTATTAACATAAAAACAACCTTACATTGTTCATATATCCTGTTTTTAGTGTGGTTAAGTCCCCATAGAAACATTGACTCTTGCTCGCTACATCCTGGAGTTGTCGTTAATGGAATACCAGTTGTTATTAACATAAAAACAACCTTACATTGTTCATATATCCTGTTTTTAGTGTGGTTAAGTCCCCATAGAAACATTGACTCTTGCTCGCTACATCCTGGAGTTGTCACTTATGGAATACCAGTTGTTATTAACATAAAAACAACCTTACATTGTTTTTCCTGTTTGTAGTGTGGTCAAGTTCCCATAGAAACATTAACTCTTGCTCGCTACATCCTGGAGTTGTCACTTATGGAATACCAGTTTGTCTGTCAGCGTGATTCCAAGGTGGCAGCTTCTGCACTTTTACTTGCGATGAAGATGATGAAGACGCATGATTGGACGCCAACTTTGACTCATTATACAGGTGAGATTTCTTATGTTTCCACTGATCTCCCATTGGCCACACTTTAACTGAGTTGAAAAATAAAAAATGAACGGAAAACTCAATGCAATGTAATCTTTGATAAGTGTTGCATCTTTAGAAAAATTGGGTTTTTGCCTTTGTTTTGCAGTTTTTGGTTGGGGAATAATGAATATTGTATATAATGTTGAGAGAGTAGTACAATGTAATGCTTGAAATTTCTCGGGGATGTTAAAATGAACTGTTGCTTACATTTTAGTGAAATTTCTAATATATTTACAGTTTTTGTCAAGTTTTTTTCAGAAACTTTTCTTATATGCGTGGTGGTCCAAAAATTGGAACATCTGTTAATCGCATACAGAATATTTATTTCTCCCCTAAAATACACTAAAATACTAGTCAAGTGTATATTTGTAAACAAGCATTTAGTCTATGAAATTTGCAATGTTAGTAGTGTTTACTGTACTGTAGTGCATAATTTTTTGATGCAGGTTATGTCGCAGCGGATATTGTTCCAATTGCGAGGGAGTTGAATATGATGCTGGCTAATGCACCAATGAAAGCATTGAAAACTATACGATCAAAATACTCTCACACGTAAGTTTATCATTATTTTCAATATGTTCATTCTACTTATGGAATTTTTTAATTTGATACGGCTGAAAATTTGTGTAAATGTCACAATGGCTTTACATTTTTCGTTGGAAAGAAAACTGATTTTAAGAGTCTCCACATTTAGACTCCAAATCTTATCTAAATTATTCTTGCAAGCCTGTGAATTTATTCTTTCAGGATATTCTCAGAAGTAGCAAAAACACCTCTAATAAACAATGCAACTTTATCTGCACCCAGCCCAGTGGTGCAAAATTCTCAGAACCCTAACTCTCGGTAGTAGCGACCTCTGGTGGTGCGTCATAGAAGCGGGGCAATATGTCAACAACAATGCATGTAGGGATAGTGTATCTTCTTCTGATAGAAGTCTGCGAAAGTCAGTTGAATGTTTTGAATCTGCGGTTATTTGACTACTAAGAAGAAATAGAAAATACAGTGGGTTTTCTGAGGAGAGTGTGTATATAAAATTCTCAGAGTGAGTGTTTGGGATTATCAGAAAGAGTGTATTGGATTATCAGAAGAGTGTGTTTGATTATCAGAACAAGTGTATTGGATTATCATGGATGGCAAAAATCAACTTGAAGCATTTTATGTATGGTGAAAAGCTAGTTTGCGAAAAAGTATTTTTGTAATTTTTGGAAAACTAGTTTTTTACTGTAATGTATCGGTATGAATTTTAGTTTTGCATTTAGCATCATGTAAAAACTCATCAAATTATATAAAATTCAGGAAAATGTCACTGACTTTGTGACTCAAAGAATGCACCACAAAGATATCTTGCAAGGATTTGTACAAAATGTATTTAGTGCAATGATGTAATCGGTTTCTGTTGTGATGTCATCAAAATGTGTGTAGATTGGCACAACCAATCATCAGTATTTGTGTATTTCAATTTTACAAGTACATTATAATTCACTTTATAATCATATGAAATTAATATTTGAATGTGGTTCTCAAATTAAAATCGTGAAAAAAACATCTCCATACTACTCATTAACACCATTATATCAAATGTGAATAATTATCAAAATTTATTACATAAGAAGTTCTTTTATTTTCATATGTTTATTTATTATGTAACTGTAAATGTAAACAAATGTGTGTTTGTCTAAAATGGTTTTAGTCAGAATTACATCTTTTGTAAATATATTTTCAATATTACCTCGGTGCATCTCATATGGATGTCTTCTTTAAATGTTATGTCAAGGTGCTATTTTTCTTTGAAAAATTAAAGAAATAGAAGAACTGAGTAGACAAAATTTGATATTCTCATTTTAACTAAACTTGTATGAAAAAATGATGTGTATTGAGAATGAGAAGGGAAGTTTTCCAGCCTGTATCTCTGGTGCTTTTCTACTCCTTATTGTTTGGAGAAGTCATGACCATTTAGATGTTTTGAGATTATTTGTCATGATTCATGTATGATGTACTGAAGTAATGTCTATCTGTAACAAAAACTGAAGTTTCTTATCGACAATCTTCCTTTTTAACTGCTTTTCTTGAACTGCTTCCAGTTTTGATTTTTCTATGCTATTCACTCACTTTTCTTGTACTCTTCTTATTTTGAAAGCTCGTTTTTGAAACTTCAGTTTAACTCTTGTTTGTAAGTATTATTTTCTTTATTTTAGATTTATAAGCTGTAGTAAAGAGGGTATGTCAGTCCCATGATGCACTTGTATGTTGTTTCTGATGGAAACATTGCATTATGGGGCATACTTACACCCTGTGTAGATATCTCTACCTCATATTTTGAAGTAGATTTTTAGATAAGTAGATTCATACAAAGGAGGTTATGTTATCCCATAGATTGTTGACAAAGATTGGATAATGTTTCCAGAGTTTTGATACCATAATGCAATGTGTGTTATAAATCTTAATGTAACTTTGTAAGGATGGAGATCAAACTTTGTCAAAATATTTCCCCGTTTTTTGATATCTTTTAATGTCAGCTTAATGGCTTATTGTAACCACCCCCTTTGTTATTTCATATTCTAGCATTATACAATAGTCCTGTAATTTCATAATCTTTCAACATAGTCATGTATTTGTTATTCATAGTCTTATATAATTAGCCAATATAGTCTTTTATTTCTCATAGTCATATATTGCATCTACTCTCATAAATGCATCTGGTCAGGGGTCATTACTTAAAAGCTTTCATCAAGTTAAAAGATGGGAGGAGAGGGGTCATATCAATTGACTTTGTTTTCCACTATTGTTGATTTTTTGGACACCATCCCTTACTCAGGCATCGTAACAACATTTTCAAATCATTAATTGATTAATTAAAAATGCTAATGTAATGACACCTAGATTATTAGAAGCTGCGCTTATTAGCTTAGATTTATACTGATTTTTAGTCTTATAATGGATTTATTTGTATTTATACACATTGAATCATGGTTAAATAGCTGAGCATTATCAAAGCAATGGCAATGTATGGGAACTATACCTCCTTTGACACAAACACTCACCAACATTTTTAGTCAGTACCAAGCGTGAGGTATTTTTTAATTTTTGTTTTATCTCAGAACAATAAATGTTCAGGCTTTTATGCTTTTCCATGCTAAAATAGGTGTAACTTGAAATTCTGAAAACTTGTAAATATCACAACTTCCTAATTCTGAAATAGATGGAACCACTGTCTGAATATGTTTTCAATTTTATGTTCATTCATCAAATAACGTTGATAAGGGAAAATATGAAAACCTGATGTTTGAATTTGATTCAATACACAAGAATTAAACACTAACAATATAGAGTCATTGAGGTAGTCCTGCATCAACACCCTGTATCCCCCTTCTATCTTCTCACACGTAGGTGAAGTAAGAGAGAGTAGAACGGGGTCTTAATGTGAGACTGACTAGCATGGTTTACAGTAAACAATTTCTAGATTTCTCCAAATATTTTTACATAATAGTCCTACTGAGCCTCATGACAGTTAAACCTATGTCTGTTGAGATTTTTTGCATAAAAAAACGCTCAGTGTTGGTAGGTGTTCACTACAGAGATGGTAATTTATATAGAAGTCAGTAGAGTATGTGGAGACTGGAGAGAGGGGTTCATTAAGACTATTCTGTAATTGTAAATTCAACAATTTAAATTATATTGTCATAAATTGCATGAAGTTTGTGAAATCAGAATAATATTGATTCATGGCAACATAAAAAGGACTTCTATGTGGCATAAGTGGGACAGTTATTAGTAAAACACTTTTCAGAGTCCCAGACCAATTAAACTAATGTTAAATGAATCTCTATCAGTGAAAGTCCTCCCAAATTGAACATTTTTAAAGGTACCAAGGGTGTTCAATGTAAATATGTCTGTATGTACATTGTCATCTCCGCTTAGTTATTGGTACTAGTGGCATATTGGTCTCAAAAGTGTCTAACATGTGTAAAACTGAACATTAAGTAGTAAATTAATATTATCTAGTAATAGATGTAGTAAGAAAATATTATAAAAACATTATGTAAACAATTAATGGAATAAAAATAGTAAAATGATAATGATTTAATAGTACTGTGATTTTGGTTCTTTGAACAATAGAGGGACACTTGTTGGGATGTACATTTTTAGTATTTTCAATCCATCATAGCAGTATATAGAACATGGGTGTAGCTAGGCATCTGGCTAGCGTAAAAATGATTTAACCTAGGAATCTACTTTTAGAATTATATTATGATTTAATGATTTTCCCTTATTAAATTTAAAAAGACAAAAAGTTAATGAATGTATATACACGTAGCTTATCCAAATAAGTGTCAATACTACTGCAATAAGGTGATTTACGAAAATTGAACAACAATGGCAATGGGGAGAAATGTGAATTGAAGGATGTTTCTACTATCAACTTTTGCCAGCTTTATACACTAGTACTGCACTCGATCATGCTATTTCCGTTTCGGTACACGCAACAAGATGGCTATGGTTCCGGTTGGAAAGTTCGGTACGGTTTTCATCGATTTCTCGAGATATAGCATAAATGATCCCAATCTTTTAGGCACAAAACATGTTTAAACACTATATGTTTCTGGAAATCCAAGTGAGTTGTACGAATAGTTCATGGGATGACAGAATCTTCAATTTAATTCCTCACTTTTGTTGCGTAAACGGAACTTTATTATCACCCCTCGTATATCATCCGGGATGTGACATTAGGAGTAGTCTTGTATCAAGCCCAATATTCATTGCGAACCCATATATCTCTTGATATGGTTGCTATAGCCATTTTATCCGATCAACATTTAACAATACAAATTATCATTTTGTTAAATATTGTTGTTGATGTTTACGCCCATGCGCTACTGGATATCAAGCCATAATATTATAATGTTTCAAACATATCTGCACAATATAATGCATCAATTGTAAACAATTACTGCTGTTAATATCATATTGTATTGTTTATTTATTTACATCGCTTCAATAAAAGTTCATAATATTTCATATACGCAATAAACGATAAAAAATTACTTTTATGGGCATCATTTATTCAACTGCTTTAGAAAACAAGCACAAAATAACTTGTAACACAGGATTAGTTTACATTGTGCGAGCAATATTTCAACTAAAATGAATTTTCTTCTAATCCTTGCTTTGGAGGTTCTCTTTGTTGTATACGGTAAGAAATTTTATATTTATTTGTTATCATTCATCTCGTTGTTTGTTTTTAATATACAAATCTAAATACAAAAATTAAAAATCTGTTTACGTTCAATCAGGTAAGGCAAAAACGTAACAATGAATATTTCGTATGTTTCACATGTACATATTTCTTTTATTCATTGAATAAATGAGGATCATGTTATGGGAGGTTTTATATATACCCCATATCCAATACTGAGCATCACATTACTAATTTATCCTATGACAAGTGACTTTTATCTATGAGACATTGATTATTCCCTCAACTGATAAATTGAAAAGATTTTAACTTTTTAAACTAATGTTGATTTTATTTGTCGTATATGAAACATGTATATTGAATGAAAGTCAATAATTTAAAAGAACATATTTCAGATTATTAAAATATCTGTTAAAATGGAAAAGTTACCAGTTATTCCCGGGAATATTGGTGCGGGAGATATACAGCGGGATATATATATATGTCCCGCTCTTCCCAGATATCGATTTTATATCCCGCTGTTATTACCTGAAACCTCACTTGTCATAGGATAAATAGAGATTATCCTATATGAGGTTCAGGATATTGGGATTATCCCGAGGCCAATATAATATATCTGCCCGAGGGCCGTAAGTCCCGAGGGTAGGTATATTATATTGGCCAAGGGATAATCCAAATATCCTGAACCGACTATAGGATGATCTGTTTATCCCATACCAATCACATTGTTCAATTTGCCAAAGTTCAGAAACTTTGCAACCAACCGTGGAATATTCTTAAAATATTCATGTCCAGTTTTGTATTCCCGTTTCTTTCCTATTCAAATCTTTGATTATTAACGCCGGTACACTGCTCCTCCCCTTCTTTAAAGCATCAAACAGGTCGAGATTGTCTGCGTTTTTCTCCATTGTCGTTTACAGTATGCGAACGTTACAAAAAAGAACCAATACGGGAACAGCGATTATGACGTAGCGGGCAGATATAGTATATCTGCCCGCTCGGAGCGGGACGTAAAGCTATATCTGCCCGCTGATGAAAATATAAGTTTTTACAAACCGGCTTTATGCACCCGTAACACGTCCAAGTATGGGATAAATAGAGATTATCCTATATGAGGTTCAGGATATTGGGATTATCCCGAGGCCAATATAATATATTTGCCCGAGGGCCGCAGGTCCCGAGGGAAAATATATTATATTGGCCAAGGGATAATCCCAATATCCTGAACCGACTATAGGATAATATGTTTATCCCATACCAATCTTGGTCATCTGGTTAACATTGTTCAATCGTGGAAATATTCTAAAATATTCATGTCCAGTTTTATTTTCTTGGCCGTGGGCGGATTTTCCTGTTCTCTCAAATATTCCCACATTTATTTTCTCAAATTTTTGATTAAGTGGATGCTCCTTCCCTTTTTAAACCATCAAACAGATCCGATTGTCTGTGTTTTCTCCATTGTCGTTTACATTCATTACGCGGACGTTACAAATTTGAACAAATTTGCGAGCGGCGATTATGTACCTGTAACACGTCTAAGTATGGGATAAATACAGATATTATCTCCTAAAAGGGGATCATCATGGCACCGACGTTACAGGCCATTGCATTTGTTTCATTTAACCGCCACATTCAAATGGCGACTCTTTCCCCCAAAAGTGCCTCTTCTTGCCCCAATTCTGTAAGTTTGTGGTTAAAACCTACAATTCAAAGTACATGTATATATCTGTCAATGATGGTGTAAAAACGACCCTTTTTGCCCAACGGGAGCCCCCAGGACTAGGCCGTCTAGCCCCGCTGTCCCCTAGTAAAACATTAGGCCATAAGAAGTTGAGTCTTTGTTTTGCGTCCCCTTGCTTGGACGATTTTGAGTAAATCAGAAAAGACAAACACATCCAAATAGCAATCACAAGGGTCTGAAAGTACCATGCATCGCATTTCGTTCAATAAGAATCAGACGAAATGGCGGATAAATTTTGGCATACCTTGTTTATTTTCTTATATTTTACCCTTGAATAATAGCAATATGTTTAAATATATTGTATAAAATGTATAGATATGTGTTTGTAATCACTACAAATTGGTATGTCATCCCTTTATACCCTTGAAACAAACGAGTTTTCATATTATTCATGTATACAATTAAGCGTCAATAATAAATATTTTGCAATATTTCAGTTGTTGACGCTGGTGCCTATGCTCCCTGCAAGAAAATGTGTAAGAAAATATCTAGCAAATGTGCTACATACTGTAAGGTTAAAAAGGTAAGACTAAAATAAGCAGTGGTAGTACTGCTGCACACACCACGGACAAACATGAAAACCAAACGGAATATGGCAAAACTGCATGTTGCACAAAATAATTAGTTGCACATTTTTAAATCCAATCAATGAATATACGGGAATTACTATTAGGAATATAGGGTATCATTAGCAAGTACGATAAATATGAAAGAGATCAGTTTAATATTATGCGAGTATTTTCAAATTAAAACCATCATGCTAAAATATATCCAATATCAGTGGAAAGGTCTATGTGCAGTATGGCAAGTGCTTTTAGACAATCATATCTTTAACCATAAATACTTTCTTGACAATACAATGTACGTTTTCTTTCAAGTGAAGTATTCGAACTTATGATCGGACATAAGTATGATGTGTACTTCAAGGTAATAAAGTAACATCTTACTTATGTGTTTCAAATATTGATTGAATGACAACAGATTCTATAGGAATGATTCAGCAAATCCGTCCAGGGCTTAAATCCTTTAATAAATGTTTATGTTAATTATCATTTTTATAAGATTTTACCATTCTGAATATATAGTGTTTTGTCATCGACGACGGCTGCTGGAACGATTGCGTGGGCGATGTTCTACCTTCTGAAGACTCTGTGCAAGCTTGCATGAAGCGATGTCTAAGGCCATTACGTGCCCCACAAGGTACCCGAATAAACCATATACAGGGTGGGCCAAAAAAACGCCACTTCTTTTCAAAATGCTATAACTTTTTTCATTTTTGACATTACATTAAATGATTACTAAGAACCCTTGGCACTATATAACTGCAAAATTTGGGGTATGTAGGTTGGAAAATAAAAAAGTTGTAGTGTCTTGAAAAAAGTAATCAACCCTAGTGAGTATAGGGTATGGGATGGTCTCCAGGAGATTGTATGAAGGCACCCAATCTAGAAAATTGCTCAACTAAAGCTGGCAATTAAGACAGGTTGAAAAAACTTAGCTAACATTTCATTGGTACTGCAATATCAGCAAGACGACTAAAACTAAAATATATCATCAATTAGGGTGGCGGACTAATTGAACTCCCCTTTTAGATCTAATATAATCCAAGTTGAAGGACTTGTTACATTAAATTATTACTAAGAACCCTTGGCACTATATAACTGCAAAATTTGGGGTATGTAGGTTGGAAAATAAAAAAAGTTGTAGTGTCTTGAAAAAAAGTGGCGTTTTTTTGGCTCACCCTGTATATACAGGGTGTCAAATAAGTCCCGTCCCCCCCTCTACAGCCAAAACCAAGATATATGGTACCAAGTGTGATATATCATTGGAAAGGTTTAAGCATTTACGGTAAAAATCAGAAATGTTTTGAAAATGTGTACGAGAAGTGGAAGTGTCTGCAAGATGAAGCAACGTAATCTTCATTATTGAAAATGAAATATGAGCATGCCAATAGAACACAGCAGTGTACAATACACAATTTCACCATGTAATTATTTGATTTTTATGTTTGTTAGAAAGGAAAATGTACGAAAACGTTGATTCAAATCAATAAATAGTATATCTATATGTTTAATCAATGAAGCGATAACTTTGAGATTGCAAACATAGAATAACAAGTTGCATGCGATAAATGGCATATGTTTTCAAACACTCATTGTGTGAGTATAATATATACTACATATTGACGGCAATTTGAAAAAGTGACATAAGTGTGTGTGTGGGGGGGGGGGGTCGGATTGACCCCCCTTGCAGACATTAGGGTTAACATATATGAAATATGAATGACATTATGTGTAGCACCCGGGATGTAGCATAAAGATGGCTAAGTTAATACGCTATTATGGGATGAATTCAAAGTAACCTATCTTAAATGCTTTAATGATCTAAACGTCATGATAACTTTCAAATTAATTTCAAATTTCACTATAATCAGATTTTGCTCACTAACACAGGCTGGTATCGAAATATTTGTCCGCTGTGACGGAGCATGCTATTTTTCATAAAAACACTAAGAATACTTCACGATTTATTTTTTAACTCATATGTTTTGTTATACCATACAAAATTTCTTACTCCATGCAATGGATATATCATTTGCGGGTAACTTTCACTTCTGTTTGAAGTCCAATTACGCTGGGAAGAAAAGCTATTGAAAATGGCGCCGGAGTATCATACTTCAAAATGTACCATTTCTTGTTTAACTTTCTAATGGCACGATATAGTGACACGATAATATTTACACATGGTTTCAGCATAACTATGAAGGTATAAACGAGATGTTGCAATTGATGTATTTGGTCTTTTAAATTCTTTTGTAAAAAATAATGTTTAATTTTTTTGTCCACCGTGACGGAGCAGTTGCAAATGTGAACTGTGAAAATGCTCCGTCACAGCGGACAAAAAATATTAATATTATTTTTTATAAAAAATTAAAAAGACCCAATGCATTAATTTCTCATTAATACATTCAGATTTATGCTGAAAACATATGTTAATATTATCGTGTCACTATATCATGCCATTAAAAAGTTAAAAAAGAAATGGTACATTTTAGAGTTTGATACTCTGGCGCCGTTTGCAATAGATTTTACCCCTAGCGTTATTGGACTTCAAACAGAAGTGAAGGTTACACGCAAATGATATATCCAATTATCCATTGCATGGAGTAAGTTATTATCTATGATATAACGAAGCATATGAGTTAAAAAATAAATCGTGAAGCATTGTTAGTGTTTTTATGAAAAATAGCATGCTCCGTCACAGCGGACAAATCTTTCGATACCAGCCTGTGACTAATAAAGAAAAAATCTATGAAAGGAGATGTGCCTTGTGTCTAGATCTTAAAAGTGCCCGTTTAAGTATAAAACTGCGCATGCGTCCAGGCGTTGCTAAACTACAAGGAGGATTGGATCCCAGGATTCACATTCGGTATTTTCCAACAAAGGTTGGAGACATCAGCAAATTTTCCCATAGGTGACCATTATAACATTTTACCCTATATCTTACGGTTAGTATCCAGGCCAAGTGCAACACACCACAGTGTTCGGGAAAGGCTTACCTAACTTATTATAAAAAAGACTTACCATGGGGTTTCCATTGGGGACAGCATCTTTTCCATTCAATCGAGGTTGGCCATGCAGCCGAACGTAAGCCACACAACCGAATTTTGCCGATTCAATCTGACGGAGAATGCCAAGCCTCTCTTTCTGACCAATTAGAGACGTCCTCTTCACATTCGTGGTACCCTCGGCCAACTTCGTTTGCAAAGAAAATCTTCGGCAGTCTCCGGCTTTTCTTGAGATATCTTCGGTTGCAAGCCAAAAGTCGACTCGAATCCTTGATGGCCAGCATACATTGGGTGCAAAATAGTTCCCATAATATCGGCCAAACATGATTTATGACTCGTGAAACAGTTGCAATGTCAACATCGAACATCAGTGAGAGTAGAAGGCAGCAAGGGTGAAGATCTCAGCCAGATCAATGTGAGAAGTCTATTGTGAGATGACACGGTATGTCGCATGCCAATTCAAAGAAAAAAAGAAAAAAACAACGACAAAAGGAAAGGCAAAGAAGAATATGAGTCTTACTGAGGTAACAGGGAATATTCAAGAGAGATATAAGAGATTCATGGACAAGAAGATGCCTAAAATATTACATCAATTAGGAGAGTGACTAATACCAAAGACTAGACGATTGTATATTAAAAAAAACAGTAATACATAGTTCTCAATTTAGTACACGCAGATCTGAAATAAAATTTTGAAATAAATTGTTTTTTCTAAACTCTTATGAAATGCCCCTTGAAATTTGACTTTCACTTTCCCTAGCTGTAAAGCTCACTTTCAGATTCCGAATAGCTTGATCCCTGTTATTCTGTTACTATTCAATTTCACTTTACATTGATTTCAATGAGATTTCGCGATACCTACTATCTTTGAAAGTGTATTCTTCAGTTTAATCCTTAAGGCAGTGAAGAATTTTGGCACCAAAAAATTATTTTGAAATAAAATTGTCAATTTATCACTAAATGTCACGTTGACTTCGATTTGACATTTATTGACGTACTTTTTAGCTCACATGGTGATCTTTTGGAATCACTCACTTGTTGTCTATCTGCCCGTCTGTCTGTCTGTCTACAATCACACCCGGTGATCGTACAAAAATGATGGAGGGGGGGATTTGGCGATTTCTGCAAGAAAACTCAACAAATATGGAAGAATTATTTTTTCAAGAGAAAATTTGCAACTGAATTGCCAAATGAATAGGCGCAGTGCATGGCAAAATATGTTAGGTCATCTCGTATTTGTTTTGAACTGATACCCTTCTAAGATATGAGATCTATTAGAAAAGGCGCATCATCACCAATGTGCAAAAGTCAATGTTTTTGCTATAAATCGGGCAACAATGGTCTACACCACCTGTAATAAATAGGTATAAGGGACGTTATTATCACAATACTTATGACATTGCTCACTTTTCAAAGTTAGTTTCCATGCGTTATACCAAAAATAATCGAAATAAATTAATTTGGGATGGAGGGGGGATCGGATGGAGGGGGGGATTTATATATTTTTACGATGGAACAAATTCACAAGAACTCGTGTATTTGAAAAAACTAAACTCAGTACCCTAGTAAGTAACTGGATATTATATCTCTGGAGAATGAAAAATGGGAAAATTTGGAGTCATAAGAATAAATTCAAGTAGCATGTCTTATCATGTCTTATATACACGTGATCCCCCCTCCCTCCGATCCCCCTCCATCCCAAATTGATTTATTTTGATTATTTTTTGTATAACGCAGATGACCTAACATATTTTGCCATGCACTGCGCCTATTCATTTGGCAATTCAGTTGCAAATTTTCTCTTGAAAAAATAATTCTTCCAAATTTGTAGAGTTTTCTTGCAGAAATCGCCTAATCCCCCCTCCATCATTTTTGTACGATCACCGGGCGTGACAATAGTGGCATATTTGAAACCTCTATCGAAAGGATTCCCGTTTTAAATTATACTTCTTCAACATCGATACAGAAACCCCCTTATGACTACTGGTTCAAAACCTCGCTTATTTTTCAAAATGGCCGCCATTTTTGTCTCGCGAAATCAACTTTAAGACCATTTGCTTTAAAACCTCTGTTGATAGGATTCGCGTTTTAAGTTATTAATACTGTTCAACATCAATACCGAGAACACCCCTATGACTCCTTGTTCAAAAGCTCGCCTATTTTCAAAATGGCTGCCATTTTTGTCTTGCAAAATTCACGTTCGGACCATTTGCTAGCTCTATAAATAATTTCGTCAGGTGTCCTGCGTTGTAAAAAGTCATGTCACTGTAAAATGTACATTATGTATGTTATAATTTTGTTACAAAAAACTCGGCAAAAATTATATCCGTTTTTTTTTTATTTTCAGCCATTTTAGTCAACATCGATTTGTGCATGTGTCGCGAAATCCACTTTTGGACCATTTCTTTTAAAACCTCCATCGACAGGATTCCCGTTTTAAGTTATTTTTGTTCAACATCAATACAGAACCCCCCCCCCCCCCTCCTATGACTCCTGGTTCAAAAGCTCGCCTATTTTCAAAATGGCCACCATTTTTCATCGCAAAAGACAACGTGCAGTATGACAAGTGATTTTAAACAGTCATATCTTTAACCATGAGTACTTTCTGGCCATAAATACAGTGGCTTTTATTAAAACGATATAAATGTTTTCTTTCAAGTTATTATTGATTTGTCCATCTGTCAGTTAGTTTAAAATAGTGGCATGTTTTAAACCAAAATCTACTTTTGGATTATTTACTTTAAGATAACTGTCCGCAAAATTCCCATTTTGACCATATAGTGACTTCTGTTTTGAAACGTCTGTCTATTAGATTCTCGTTTTAAATTATTTTTGTCTAACGTCAATACAGAAAACCTTCCTGAATGCTTTGCATTGGTGTGAATTATTTTTTATTTCAGCCATTTTAGTAAACATTGATTTGTCCATCTGTCTCCCGAAATCCACTTTTGGACCATTTTTAAGACCTCTGTCGATAGGATTCCCGTTTTAAATTATATTTGTACAACTTCAATAGAGAACCCCCCCCCCCCCCCCCCTGTGACTCTTAGTTCAAAAGCCCTTCTCTTTTCAAAATGGCTGCCATTTTTGTCTCGCAAAATTCACTTTTTGACCATTTGGTAGCTTTATAAATAATTCAAGGGGTCCTGCATTGTAAAAAGCCATCTCACTGTAAGGAGTAGTTGTATGAAATAATTTATTACAAAATATCGGCAAAACAATTATATCATTTTTTTATTTTCAGCCATTTTAGTTAACATTGGTTTGTCCATTTGTGTTCCAGTCAGCCACCAATAAAAGCACGTTTTGAAGCCTGGGTCAATAAGACTCCTGTTTTAAATTATTTTGGTTCCTCTTTAATACAGAAGTCCCTCCTGTGAGTCCAGGTTCAAAAGCTAGCCTATTTTCAAAGTGGCTGTCATTTTACTTGCGGAAAATTCACTTAGCTTTGTAAGTGATTTCAGGTATCCTGCATTGTAATAACACATGTCACTGTAAAGAGTAGTTTAACGTGATAATTTTGTAAAGATTTATATCTGCTGTTTTATTGTCTGCCATTTTAGCCATCATTCACTTTTCTCTTTCTGAGCAACACCATGTGAGCCCAGTACCCACGGTACTATTTCTTTTAAAAAGCAATTTACAACAATGCCAACAATTTTGAAATCAGACATTGGACCCCTTGCGACTTAGTATTATAAAAATGAAGACATTAGGGTTAAATATTTACAAAATATAATGCAGTGTTCCTCTTTATGGCTCATCCCACACAGTGCAATGCAGGACAGTACAGTATTGTAAATTCAGAGCATAGCGCCTATTTTAATAAATGCAATGTACATGTTATAAACACGTATGTATCTATTCTCCTTTTAGCTTGTACCAGGTGGGAACCATGGTCAGACTGGACATGTAAAGAATGTGTAGGCTTACCTGACAAACGCAAACCAATTTACCGTTTTGATGATGTTATATGCAAGCGTTCTTGCACAAGAACATGCACAAGAACAAGGGTATGCCCTCCGTGTCCATTTGCACCAGCAGCACCGCCCCAATGTGTAGGGCGATCATACGAGACGAAAACGGAAGCTTGCTGTGTCGAATACGGCAGTATGTACAAGATATGGTATACAACATGTTGTCAGGATCTGATGTTCATGCACACATCTACTGTTATTTTAAGATCTAGATGTAATGAGACACACGCCGTTTAATATTGTTTTCTATTTCGTATATATAGCATCAATGTTACTATTATTAAGAAATTGTAAAGTTTCTCAGTAATTTGAAGATATATAGTTTGAAACATAATCAAGAATCTAAAAATCAAATCAAACAATGTTACTGCATCATGACACGAAATAAGTATGACTAGTATTAGACGACGGCCAACAATGTCCGGAGAGGGCTTGTTACCAACAGTCAAGTAACTCTACTGACTGATCATTGATTAGAATGAAAATGAGGATTCATTGGCGTGATTTAAAACTTGACTTGACTTACTTACAATATGTGACCAAGGGAAAGATCAATACCCGGTGATTTCAGCGGGAAGTGGCGTTTCGTTCAGTGGATGAGCTGCGCGCGCACGCATAAATGTGATTATCCAATCAGGGGGGGGGGGAGATTTCCCAAAGATGCCCTATCATATTAGCACGTTCGAAAACAAATTTTATAAACAGGCCTCAATTTGCCGTTGAAATGGATCTTCAAATGTTCACTGTAGTTTTATGAGTATTCTCTACAAGTATGGATCGAGTAACTTCGATACTATTACCGTAGGTTTGAAATGACGATGTTGAACTGATGTAAACACCATTCTCACGATTTCAAATTTAACTCTGCGCATGCGCAGCACTGAGAGAGCATGTGCCCATGATTGTTCACGTGATCGAATCCTGCAATTTGATTGGAGATGATGCAAGAGATGATGTAATGGGGAATCCCCGAATACGATAGAATATGAAAGAATTATGGGAGCTACTCACTCCTCCTGTTATCCAATATAATTACTGTAGGCTTAAGAGGAGGGAACGCCCCAGAGTTTAAAGATGACAGACATAATTACTTCTCTTGCTTACCACCTTGGTTCGTTCGAATTTTCATCGGCTAGCTAGTTTTCAAATACTACACTTCGATGGGATGTTTTAATTGTTATAGGCATATTCCGTACACCTTTCTTTATCTTGATGTGAAATGAGAAGCTATGATATTGGTTAACACGCCAGCAATGAACATAATATTATTCGAAGCGTATTTCGAAAATTTTGAAACCGCCATTGATGACGTCATTTGTTTGTCGACTTTTGACCAATCAGCGACGATGTCATCTCAATACAGATTTACATTATAAGCGTATGTCATCTTTGAACCCTGGTGTTTCTCCCCCTCTGTGTAGGCTATAAGCACAGTGACCTACAGAGGGCGCTATCACAAACAAGTACTGCACGAACCGATAAATTCCCGGGTATTGTAACGCCCTTGTATGTGACGTGTCACGTTGCAATATTATAAAATAATATTTTTATTAGTACAGTACATGTATATTGTGATATTGTGATTTGCAGGGAGGCAGGCGGGCAATCAACTTCGCCATTCAAGGTGGAGAATTTGACGGATTGATTTCAATTTTTAGGGATGATTCTTTGTATGATACTCTCATGATTAGTTTTTGGGGTAATTGAGAAATTTAAGAAAGCCATTTGGATTTTTGTCCTAAATCTTGTCTGTAAAGTATTTTTTCACTTGGTATTTCTGGGGACGTTCCTTCATCTTGTCCTTTGCATTGAAGTCTAGAACTGTCTAGTTTTTGGGGCATTCTCGATATTTGTTAATGTGGCCATTTTGGATTTTCCCTCCTAAAATCTTGTCTGTAAATAGCCTAATGTTATGATGGATTGATCTCAAATTTATGGGATGTTTGTAAATATGAATTTAGAATTAATTAGTTTTTTGGTCATTCTAGGTTAATGTTAAGGCAGACTTTCTGTTCATAAAAACTTCTAGTATTCAAGGGTGCGATAGTGTTCACCCCGTGTCTTGTTATTATTATGCTATCATTTTCATTATTCAGCTCGTCAAATATGCGTTCCATTTTGCCGGAACGAGGAATGTTCCAGCATGCATAGGAGAAATTGCTGTGTATGCCCACTACCAAGTCTAAGTGAGTGATATTAAAATCAGGAAGGCAAGATCTTTAATAATGTAAACTGTAACCGTCAACCTTGTTTTAAGTTGTTTTTAATTAGTCCCATTTGTTACACTATTGTAGGCACTTGTACCATTATTTGTAAAGTAATACCAGGCAGTGTACACAAAACTTTACCCACCTAACAATAAATATCTATTTAACAAATAGAGTTTATAAAAGAAAGTTTGCATAATTAAGGTTGATTCAGTGATTTTTAAGTTGACAGTTTTACCACAATAGCAACTATTTGCTATTGATTCAAATTATGTGCTCCAAATGGTCACCGCCTCCCTCAAGACAGAGTTACAAACGCCAGGTAAGGTTGTTGACAACACATGTACATTCATCCCTGGATATGGCACTTATCTTTTGTGTTATGTCTTGTTAAAGCCCTGTAATAGTTAGAAGGTTGTTGGTATTAAGGAACCCCACCCCCAGATAAAAATCGGGGGGGGGGGTTAGGGTCTGGGGAGTCGGGTGCCCAGTTGTTATCTGCTCAGTGCTCTACGACTGATGAGTCGTAAAAGGTTATGATGACATTCCAAGGTTATGTTGGATGTGTGCGGTGTACACCCATTCTCAATAAGAATGCAAATTCCAGGTATGAATCTGACGAAAATTAAAGTAGCTTTAAATGGTTTAAAGTTGATGTATTTTTATTTGAATATATGTTAAGTATCTAAAGTGAAAATATCTCATACCCCTTCATGGAAAAGTCACATGTTGAAGCTTATCTAGTATTCATTTAAAAATGTAAGTCTCTGTCATTTACGTTATAGAGGGTTGTCGTAGCAAGAGACCTATATTTTCATTTAACATATTATTCTCATGTCTGTTTTTGTACCTAACAATTAGGATACATTTTGCCTTAATACTAAATCGTACATCAGGCATTTTGAAGATAAGTGGAAACAAGTCACTGGAAATCTATGATCTGATGATACGATAAAGGTTAACTATGAAACCAAAATCCCAGTAACAAATGATCATACTCCAGAGTTTCAATGTCATATAAGTTGGATTTAGTTCAAATATCAAAGCATTACGTCTACTAAAATGTACTTTAATTCGATGAAAACTAAAAATATCGAAATCGACACTTCCCGTCCGCCATCTTAAATGCGAAGGTGACGGCCGTAATAATCGCTTGATACTGACCAGTAATATATCTTTCAGTCGATTTCTGTTTCATTTGAGTCTTAAAAGGATACAAATGTAGATCTGTTTTGAGTATTCTATCAAGTGACATAAATAGTATTCTGAGTTGTTTGCTTCACCTTTCTTTCCAGTGACTTCTTGGGGCTTCGGCTGACTGAATATTGAGCGTTCTCGTGTGTTCGTGTACTGCGAGGCGTTCCCTTAACTTTTGGTACTTCGATTTTCACAGTTCAAAATCATCTAAATTTCCGAGCCTAATCACAAATAATCATCTTGCTTTGCGCATTTCTCACAATATGCTGTATTTGAAACATGTCCTGTGTCTTTTGAAACAACCGATTTTGAAATATTTCTCGACGCAATATGCTGTAGGTCCTGACTTCAATTGACCACGGCATACATGACAAGCTATAGATTAGTTACTAACGTTTTCTTGAAGAAAATTGAATAGACTCTTTTAACCGGAATAATAAAGAAGATGTTCTTAAAAGCTATAACATAAAAAGGTGGGTAAAGTATTGTAACAACCCTGGTTGTTACTTTTGTGATTTATGCCTCATTTTAATTTGTAAGTTTAACAAGGTATTTTAACTTTTCATAACTAGAATTTGGTGCCAAAAACTTATGCCTAGTTTAGATTAGCTAATCTGAGCACTTGTTACCAAAGGGTTGAGGCACACATAGAGAATTTAGATTTTTTATATGTGCTGATTAAGTTATCTTCAAATGGGGACCTTTAAAAGTACAAACTTAGGATATTGATAGGATAGCATTTATATAAATATTTCAGGATCGTATACATCACACTTTAGCAGGGTAAGATAGTACATTTAGAACCGTGTTTGGTCAACCCAGACAGCAAGACAGGGTAAATTATTTGTTATCCGGTGATTGCTCATTATCGTATCTGACAAATCAGAAAATTGTTGAAATGACTGCAGGTTTTCTGCAGTTAATTGTTACTATTCTAAAAGAGTAAGTTTTTATTTTTATATACTGTTCTGCAGAACTGAGTTGATCCATAAATCTCATTGCAACTTCACTTTACATTACATAAATTCTTGACTACCAGGGCCAATAATGCATTGCTTCGGCCCTTGCTGTGTTTGTAATTTGTTTTGTTTAAATGATAATAAAAAACTTTAAACCTAAAAATTTAGAACGTGATTAGTAGTTACACTCCCCTCCATAAGTTTGGCAACCTAAGCTCCCCCATTGAACTTCGTGTTAAAGCCTCTTTACCTTTGAATTTTTATTTACTTAACCTGCGATAAAAATACTTATACTATTGATGGACACGTAACTTGACTTCCAAATTTTCTCAATTTTTTTCCTCAATTACAATAGGTCGAAAATTGATGATAAAGATGAATTTCTGAAAATAGACATGCCCTTGTTAACCAATGGGAAATGGTAGGTTTGCCGCAAGTTATATGACAGAATATCCATCCATCCGAGTTCTTGCAAAAAAACAAATTAAGTAGGCAATCGAATTTGCTAACTGTATTTAACAAAAAATTGATACGTTTCTTCAGATTCAACAAAGTTATGGGTCTTTAAAGTCAAAATTGTTTTTCAAAAACCTCTCCCATTGAAATAACACAAGAGGCGAAAAAAGATTTTCAAAAATGACTTTGAAGCTCTGTAACTTTACAGTAGTATCCATCAAGTAAACTATACACTTGGTGTACAAAAGAGTTAGACAATTCCATTTTCTATATATTTTTTGGCTGAATCTTTTACCGAATAGGTATCCTGATTTCTGATTTGCCCCGAACCCAACATCTCCCATTGGTTTACATGGGAATGACGATTTTCAAATATTTATCAAATTTATCATCAATTTTCGAACTATTGTAATTGAGGAAAAGAATTGGGAAAATTAGGAAGTATTGGAAATATAGTCAAGTAACGTTTCCATCAATATCATAAGTTATTTCATAGAAGGTTAAGTAAATAAAAGTTCAAAGGTAAAGAGGCTTTAACACGTAGTTCAATGGGGTTGAAAGATTGCCAAACTTATGGAGGGGAGTGTAAGTCAAGTGACCTCGTTTTGAGCTTTGTGAATTTTTGCCTGGAATTTTATAACTTCACTTTCTATCAAGTTTATAGGATTGGGCATCATATCTTTCAATATTATACAGCCATTTTATATTCTGAATATTACTAGTTAAGTTAAATGCAGCTTTAGTGAGATTCAAGTTGAAGGTAGATGGTGAAATGCCAGTACTGTGTAATTTCAGTTTGAGTATTTGAAGATAGGTGCCAGGGTGTTCTGTTATTGTTTGTAAACCATGTAGAGATCATGTATTTTATATAAGGTCAGATTTGTAATAGGATCGAAAGCTGTATTTGTAACAGCATCTTATTTGATACACATTTCTGTGAGACCTTGCCATGTAAATATTCATTGTACACATTTCATATACTTTTAGATTAGTTTGATCAATACTGTTACATACTGTATATATATATAATCGAAACATCTTTTTATGTTTATTTGGCAAGTTAGTTAGTTTGACTTAAAATCTAATCACAACCATCATACTGCCTAGTACCGGCAATACGTAACCACATAAGTTATTCTATTTATCATCTCGTAATTTTGTGTAACATCACGGCTAGGCGAGTGTGACTGTCGGTTGTTACAGTATCTTTGGTACACCCTGTACTATTATAGATAGTCAGTAGTCAGGCACACAGTTTTCAACATTCGAGGCAACTTTTTCATATTTGGTCAAAGTAAAACTGAAGTAAAAAGACCGCAGATAGCTTGTTATTATTCGGCTATTATCTTCATATTTTAGCTCGTCTAGTATGCGACCCAGATTGCCAGATCGATGAGTGTGACAAAGATGGAGGGGGATATTGCTGTATATGCCCAAACGTAGGTGTAAAATCAATAATTTAAGATATTGAAAAATGTAATCTGTATACATTTGTTTATAAGCAAATTGTTAAAATTATTTGTCCCTTGGCAAAACCAAAATGAAAGAGTAATTACAGCAACGCCAAGTCGTAACAAATCCCACCGAACAGTCATGACTGTCATTTTTAACCCCAAATGTTTGGAGGAACATCCCGTGTTAAGATGTACAACAAATACCGATCAGTAATTTAGTAAGAAAAATAGATATTTCGCAATACCTGCAATCTTTGAGTGTATAACTTCACTTCAATTATAGAAAATCGTTTACCTTGATTTTTGTTTTATTGTAAAGATAATAGATTATTATTTAAGAAACGTAGCAATTTTTGGCACAAAAATTGAATTAAATTGTAAGAAAATAAAATATAAAATGTCAACGGTTTTCACCCCTTGGTCACCTTGACCTCGATTTGACCTTTGTTGACGACTTTTAAAAAAAGAAACAACATTTTCTGGAGAGGGGATTGAATGAGGTTTACAACAATACCAACATTACTGAAAGCAGACGCAGACAAGTAGTAAAAAATTGCAGGGGGGGGGGTAAAAATGACACCCCCCTTCCCTTGCGACTTAGTGTTATAAAGAAGGTTGCAAACGTTAGAATTAAAATGATTGACTAAAGGAGCTAAATTGTCAATAGACAGTGTGATATTCACCTATCAAATTTCAGCAAAATCGCTCTTCTACATTTCCAGTTATATTATTAAGCAACAACATAAAATAACACACATACAAATGGCTGTCATTTTTCAAAATGGCCACTCACTATTGATTTAATAGCCAAATTGTCATAAGAGAGTGTAAACTGCTTCTCATTATTCACATATAATATTTCAATCAGTTATAGGAAAAACTTAAAATAACACACATAAAATATGTGGTCATTTCTCACTGGTCAAATCGGCATAAAAAAGTGTAATATGCTTTCAAGTAGTCAAATGTAAAATGTTTTACAAAATCGCTCCACTACTTTTCGAGTTATAGTAAAAAATGTAAAATAACGCATGCAAAAATGGTCGCCTATTACAGTACTAGCCAAATGGTCATAAGATGGCCACTATGTTTTTTAAATACTTAGATTAAACTTATTTCATAGCCTATATATTTTACATTTAAAACATATTAATATTGCAGTTTAATATGTTGTACCTAAAATAAAAAAATGCCCGGGCAGACGGACGAACGCACGGAAGGAGACGTTTTCTATATTCCTTCGAACTTCGTTTGATTGGATAGAAATATCTCGCATATCATTGAAGCATGAGATACACAATAATATAAGAGATCTTAGACACTATATAAACACATGACAGTGTGTTCTATAAATGTGCAATATTTTTGACACAGTTGGGAATGTACATAATTTATACTCATTGTCATATGTCACTGCATAGCTTAAATAGGTAAATAAATAAACAAATAAAATGATAAAATATTTTCTTATAGTAAACGATTATTTTTATTTTAGAATGCAGATCTTTTGGACAAATGCCGTGATATTTCATGAGTTTGATTCCACAAACGAAAAATAAAGTATTTGATTTTTGATTAATTACAATGTACTTGTGCACATGGAAAAATAAAATTTATAAGATGAAAGCAATTAAAGTTGTTGTATTATTAATGAGATTGAACTATTGAAGACAGATGCTGGATTGTGTTTTCAATTTTAAATGTGAAAATAAAAAGTAAATAAATAGGCTGTATAACACGTTTAAGTAAATAAGTGAATGATGTTTTTGAATATTTGTAAAATGTAGGTCAAGCGAGTGAGGACAATATCGACAACATTTTTAATTTGTGATATGTGTCTGTTAGCCACTACTTCAAATGGCAAATAATATCTACCCCGTTTAATCATACAGGGTGAGCCAAAATAGCTAACCCAAACAAATATCAATAACTCCATCCTCCAGTCGATGGATTCAAAATTACTTTTGGCACGATTGAACCTTGTTCAATGTTCTTTCATTTTATATATGTTTCATTGGTCTTTTTTATGATTACATTTTTATGGCCATTTTAAAAAACATGTCAATGACATCACCTCCAGTGTAAAATCTTAAAAGATGGCAGCTCACTGGAAATGAACACTACATCTTTAAATGACCAGTATTGACCATATCAAACCATTATGATTATAGCTACCATATCGGAAAAGAAATGGTCTGGCAAGGAATGTTTCCTTTAAAGATAAACCAAGAAATGTCCAGGCAATTGCGATTATTATACATTTATTTTTCGGTCTATAACAATACTTTTCTTGTTAATAAGTAAATAACCATAGTACAATTAACAAAGAATTACATATATTTTCTGTACATCTATATTTATACGATTTTGCATGTTGCCATTGCTAAGTATGCCTTAATTGAAACTAGAAAAACAGCAACTCCACGGAGTAGCAAATCCCACCGAACAAAACATGTTTTGGTAAATAGCGGCCATATAACATTTGAGCAAAATCCATCCACTGGTATTTGAATTATCAAAAATTGTGTTTTTATGATACATGGTTGCCATTTTGAAATTCAGCTGTCATCTTTAGATTTCCTCTTTAGCAGAGCTCCTATGTCCCAAGGCATCAGCATATACAATTCAATCCAAATCCGTCAACTGCTACTTGAGTTATCAAGGATTACATGTTTAATGAAAAATTGTGGAATTTTCGATAAATAGCAGCCACCTTGAAAATTTCTTCTCAAGCAGAGCTCCTTTATCTCTAGGCATCAGTATATACAATTTGAAGTAAATCCGTCCAATGATATTTGAGTTATCAAAGATTACCTTTTTGATGAAAAATGGCAGCCATTTTGAAATTCAGCAGACGCCTTTGAAATTTCTTCTGAAGCAGATCTCCTATTTACCTAAACATCAGGATATAAAATTGGAACCAAATCCATCCACTGATATTTGAGTTATCAATGATTATGTTCTTTGGGGAAAAATTGCGGCCATTTTGAAAGTCAGTGGCCATCTTAAAAATGTCTTCTTGAGCAGAACTTCTTTGTCTCTAGGCATCAGCATATAGAATTTGAACCAAATCCATCAACTGGTATTTGAGTTATCAAAGGTTAAATTTTTTTATGAAAAATAGCAGCCATTTTGAAATTTAGCTGCCCTCTTGAAAATCCCTTCTCGAACAGAGCTCCTATGTCTCTAGGCATCAGCATGTAAAATTTGAACCAAATCCATTCAATGGTATTTGAGTTATCAAAGATAACGTTTTTTACGAAAAATGGCCGCCATTTTAAAATGTGGCTGCCATCTTGAAAATGTCTTCATGAGCAAGGCTCCTTTGTATCCAGGCAACAGCATATAAAATTTGATCCAAATCTATTCAATGGTATTTGACTTATCAAAGATAACCTTTTTTTACGAAAAATGGCCGGCATTTTGAAATATGGTAGCCATCTTGAAAATGTCTTCTTCAGCAAGGCTCCTTTGTACCCGGGCAACAGCATATAAAATTTGAACCAAATCCATCCACTAGTATTTGAGTAATCAAAGATTATATTTTTTCCGAAAAATGGCAGCCATTTTTAATTTAGCGGCCATATTGATAATTCCTCCTCGAGCAGAGGTCCTACACCCATAAGGCATAAGCCTATAAAATTTGAATGAAATCCGTCAACCAGTATTTGAGTTATTGCCCGGACACACAAACGAACGGACGGACGACTGACGAATGGACGGACGGACAAACGGACGGCTTTTCTATATCCCCCTCGAACTTCGTTCGGTGGGATAATTACGTTACAATGGCATTAAGAAAGTAAAACAGATAGAAACTAGAAAATGTAAATGTTTGAATCAATCTCATCAAAAAGGATGTGATCATTACCTTTACAATATAAATCTTATTTTCTGAAAAGAACGATTTTAGATATGTCCAATGACATCAGAATTAAAACAGGAGATTTCCACTTTTATTATAAACTTTTTCCGCCAGATAACCATATAAAGTGAATAATTAATAATTAACCCAAAATTTAAAGTCAGAGCGGCTGGACTTATTTAAAAGAGTTATTAATATGCAAAATGTCACCACAGGTATTGGAAGTTTTTGAAGAATTTATTACTACGCCAAACCTCCAACGCCGTCCACAAAAAGTTGGTGACATAAAAATAGTAGCAAAAAAGCAGAAACTATTGTAAAATTTGGAAATTACTGCCAACTCTTCTATATTCCTTTTAGTTCCTTTAAGTTAAGAATTTCAAAAAAGTTTTATATTATGTTAATTATTTGTCCCTTCCTTGTCCTAGAAACAAAGAACCAATTTCAAGGAGGACTGACTCCCAGCATTCTTTTGTGATTTTCCTTTGACTGGCATTTTGGTAATGGTTCATCACCAAACCAAACATTAAGTCAGGTGTTCATTACCAAACTGGTCCATGCCAGTTTAAAGATCACAAAAGAATGTTGGGAGACAATTAGTCTAGCTCCAAGACTCTGTGACCCGGTGATACTATGTGTCCCAGTGAAACTTTGCCTTGCCCCTGAATCACCTTTACACAATAAATGATATGATCTGTTACAGTTACGAGTGTGTTGGAAAATCTAGTTTGCGAAAAAGTATTTTTGTAATTTTTGGAAAACCAGTTTTTTACTGTAATGTATTGGTATGAATTTTAGTTTTACATTTAGCATCATGTAAAAACTCATCTAGTTGATCATAAATTATATATAAAATACAGAAAAATCTCACTGACTTTCTGATGCACAACAAAGATGTCTTGCAAGGATTTGTATTTAGTGCAATGATTTAATCAGTTTCTGTTGTGATGTCATCAAAATATGTGTAGATTGGCACGACCAATCATCAGTATTTGTGTATTTCAATTTTACAAGTACTGTACATTATAATTCACTTTATAATCATATGAAATTAATATTTGAATGTGGTTCTCAAATTAAATTCGTGAAAAAAACATCTCCATACTACTCATTAACACCATTATATCAAATGTGAATAATTATCAAAATTTGTTACATAAGAAGTTCTTTTATTTTCATATGTTTATTTATTATGCAACTGTAAATGACAAATGTATGTTTGTCCAAAATGGTTTTAGTCAGAATTACATCTTTTGTAAATATATTTTCAACATTACATCAGTGCATCAGATATGGATGTCTGCTTTAAATGTTATGTCAAGGTGCTATTTTTCTTTGAAGAATTAAAGAAATAGAAGAACTGAGGAGACAATATTTAGAATTCTCATTCTAATTGAACTTGTTCAAAAACTTTAAAGGCCCCATCTAAAGTTTAAACCACTTTGGCTTATATTGTAGTCTTACCCAATGTTATCAAAGTGTGATATGTGAAACTTTTTTTTTAAATTTCAAAATGTGGTTTTTGATAGACTTTTTGTTCCAAAATTTGTGAATTTATTTAAAACCAACTTTTAGAGGTCACTCATATTTTCTAATTAGCCACAATTCATACCAATGCATAGCATTCATCCTCCCATGCTTTTTGCCGAAAAAATTAAGAAAATCGGTTCATAAATAAGCGAGAAATGAACTTATCAGTGCATGAAAATGGTTCTGAGAAAAATGCATTTCAAAATTTTAGTTCTCATAGAAACCAATGGTACAATGATATCTAAAACATAATTTATTCTTACTTTTAATCTGGTTAGACAATCAACATTGGTTTTTTGTGAAAGTCTAACATATTTAGAAAAGATTGACATTGAAAAAAAAATTTCAATTTTTTTCAAAAAGTTTTTGGTACCTTAGTGACATCACTAATGTTTCAAAATATTTTTGATATGCTAAAACATTGAAGTGGCCCATTAAATATGGCATTTTATTATTGAAATAGTGTGTCCTTTGTTCAATCTTTGCATTGGTGTTAAAAAGATATCTTTTTTTGAAATGCATTAAGAAATATTTGATGATTAAGAAATTTCAACTTTTTTTGAAAAATGGCGGGAAATTTGAATATTTGAGAAATGAAATGCTCACAACTTTTTTGTAAAAAAAATTTTTTTGTTCAAAAATCTCTAAAATTACTTTTTAAGTCCTGACAAATAGTAAATGAATGATAAAAAAATATTTTCAAACTTTAGACGGGGACTTTAAGACATTTACCAGTATTGAGTATTAGAGGTGAAGTTTTCAAGCCTGTATCTCTGGTGCTTTTCTACTCCTTATTGTTTTGAGAAGACATGACCGTTTAGATGTTTTGAGATTATTTGTTTGATTCATGTATGATGTGCTGAAGTAATGTCTATCTGTAACAAAAACTGAAGTTTCATATCAAGAATTTTCCTTTTTAACTGCTTTTTTAACTGTTTCCAGTTTTATGATTTTTCTATGCTCTACTCCTCAAAAAAAGTTAAGGACCAGTGGTTTTCCTCATAGGTTTACATGTTAACCCCCATATTTGTTTGAACGACTATTTTCTAAGCGGCGAACAAAAGAAATCCCAATAAAGTAAATAAATCTGTATCTTGATTCTATTCCCCATAAAGTCCGCAACGTTTCAATGTTTATCTCCATTACATTGGGTCAAAATTGATGAATTTCATGAAATTTAACAAAAATGGCAGATCCCATGTTAAACAAATGGGGAATGGTGGCTTAGGGGCAACTCTGATTTTGGAATATCTATTCAGTAAAACATTTATTAAAACATATGTAAAAATACTTTCTAAGTAGAAAATTGAATGATTTTACATTTTACATGCTAAATGTCTCGCTTATGTTGTTAGAATTAGCGATACGGAGCGTTAAAGTAATTGTGGCCACCTCACTGAACCACCTGTGTTATTTCAATAAGAGGATCATTAAAAAATTATTTAATTTGAAACCATTAACTTTTGTAAAGCCTAGACAATTAAATCATATTTTTGTCGAGGGGACAATTTAGCAAATTTAATTATCTCTAACAATTTCAATTTTGAGAGCAATCCGATGGATGGATCATTCCTCATATGACTTATGGCAACCCAACCATTCCCCATTTGTTTAACATGGGATATGCCATTTTTGTTACATTTCATGAAATTCATAAATTTTGACATCAAATTTTTACCCAATGTAATGGAGATATAACATTGAAATTTTGCGGACTTTATAGGGAATAGAATCAAGATACAGATTTATTTTCTTCATTTGGGATTTCTTTTGTTCCACGCTTAGAAAATAGTCGTTCAAACAAATATGGGGGTTAACATGTAAACCTATGAGGAAAACCACTGGTCCTTAACTTTTTTTGAGGAGTATATTTTACTCACTTTTCTTGTACTCTTCTTATTTTGAAAGCTCTTTTTGAAACTTCAGTTTAACTTTTGTTTGTAAGTATTATTTTAAAAGCGTAACGTCGAGGTTCCGACATTTTGTTACCGAAATTGATCCTAGTTTAATGAGTACAGTACCAGTGAAAATAAAGTTAAAAATTAATGCATGCTGAAAAAGAAAAATTTGTCGCATTTGCAAACTAAAGATGATATTCTCGGCGTTCAACATGATAATATTGTCAATGTGTTAGATTGACGAACCTGTCCTGTCCGGCAAGTTTGCAAGGATGCATGGTTTAGACAAGTATGGTATGGACGATAAACAACAGATCAAATGAAACGTAAATAACAAAGATATGTTGTAAGCTACAGTTAGGTGATGAATGCAACACTGAGAATTTATCAGCTTTGTTTGACTTTCTACCAAACCAAATAGACATTTGTAAGACGTTTTATAGATCTAACAATAAGACTCTTTTGATCGTATCTACAAGAATGATATAAGATCAAAAAAAAATTCTCATGAAAATGAAACATACATCACCAAAGACATGTTGAAAACGACACTGGTGAATGCGATTTTGAGTACATATAAAATTATACTTGAACGGAAAGATTCGTTTGACGTTCTCCTTAACAATGTAGACATGTATGAGATGTTATATTTATGATAATAAGAGCATTTCGATCACAGTTCACAAAATGTAACATACGTTACGCTAGATTTTTTGTTTAATTCGGAGGGAAATGTATATTTTTGTAGGATGCAAGTCCATTTTCTTGTTTTGTTATGATATGTGTCCATGACTAAAATACAAAAAGATACGTTGCTAGACTGGAAAGTAATTCTTATGTATCATGACGACAATAAAATAAGAACAATTTTGATAAAGTCGGTATTAAGAATAAATGTTCATATTTTTGAAGAAAAATGTCTTCATTATTTTCCAGACGGTTAAAGTTTGTTCATTATGTGTCTAAAATGTTAAATCAAGGGAAAGTTGATCGTTGAACTTTTATTTCTAAAACCGTGTATATATGTTCCACTGTCTTGAAACATTCGTTACATTTGACATGCCTCCAAAAATTTAAATAATTAAAAAAACTAACTTAATATTTCAGAAAGTGTAAAAAAAGTAAAATAGTCATATTTAGCGACATTTTTATGACACATTTATCAATTAAAGTCACTGTATTTCTAAATTTCCAGGGAATGTATATAGCCAGCTTTGCAGAAACACTTTTCTTTCTTAAGTTTTGTTGCTTGTGCACTTTAATTTCTTTTTTTGCTGAAGTTATATTAAATACATTACCAAAAGCTATCGTTTGGTAAAACAGAGTTACATTTTCTTAATCATTTGCAAGTCGGGGTTTCTTCCACACATCAACGTGTCATTCGCAAAAGAGAGAAATTGAATGATAACCTGTTAGTAACGGATGTTTTTTTACCAAAAAATTAAACAAAGAAGGATGAAATTCAATTTACCATAACTTTTTTAAATTAAAAGTTAACTTGAAACAATTTTGAGATTGCATTCTACATTCATATGGTTACATTATCAACCCGAACTTAAGCTCTTTGAAGGAAGTTTATTTTTATCAAATTCCAAAGGCTAATTGCACGGTTTTATTGAGCCTGGGCGTGTTATCCATAGCCATAGTTTTACATAATTAGCCAATATAGTCTTGTATTTCTCATAGTCTTATATTGCATCTTCTCTCATAAATGCATCTGGCCAGGGGTCATTACTTAAAAGCTTTCATCAAGTTAAAAGATCGAAGGAGAGGGGTCGTATCATAAAGAAATACACTTTGTTTAACCACCATTGTTGATTTTTTGGACAACATCCCTTACTTAGGCATCATACCATTCATCGTGTAACGAAATTGCCCCCATAATTCACTTTCTAATGGTACATTTAATTACGCAATACAAGTCAAATAACCAATGTAAACTGTGAATATAAAGGACCATTCAGGGTGTGTCACGTTCGTAATTTTGGCGTATTTTGAGAGTATTTTCGTCCGCTGCATATCTCTATAATGCCGACGGTGTTCCATGGAATTGAGAGTTAGTGTGCATTTAGAGATGCCATTGACGTCACAATCGAATACTGAGTATAAATACGGGAGCAGAACCAGAGCTCCTCAGATTGTGTAGGATCTCAAAAGAACGCACAGATTGTTGTGAAATCTCAAACAAGTGGTATCTCAGAGCATTTCAGATTAAAGCCAAATCCCAAACAGGTAACGTCTCAGAATGAGATGGTAATAAAATCTCAGAATGAGATTATGTGGGATCTCAAAGAAAACACATCTCAGGATGAGATAGAAGAGATAAGATTGAAATGAAACTCAAGCAGGTAACATCTCAGATGAGATTGCTAGATGGCAATACGAGATATCTTATGAGTAATTAAAGTTCCCTTTTGATGGGGCTTGGTTGATTCCTTTCGGATGTGAATGATTGAATAAGAGTGTCGGTTGTGGTGTGAATACTGAATCACAAAAGGATATAATGAACTAATGAGAGTTCTGTTGGTATTTTGCAACGTGGAAGTTGTGTGATTGATTGGTGCCAATGATAAAGCCAGTGAGAGCTTATTGGCGGTATATATTATTGCAAAATACACGGTGGTCTATGAGAGACAAAGTCATAGTGAGTTTATGACGTTTTATGAATCTGTTTGTGAATGTACCCTAGGAATTGGGTCAGGTATTTAAAATCGCACACACCATATTTTACGATGTAATCGGCGGTATAGATTACGTCAGAGTTTCACATTCTGGGAAGCGAGACAGGCTTCAATAAAAAAGACCTGCCAAATTGAGATAAGAGCAGTCAGAAGGCTGAATATCCTAATTGGTAGGGGAACAAGGTTACTAGTGAGGATATGTTAGTATAAAAGACAATTGCCTAGCTAAGTAATCCCATCGTGATTTGAGGATCCCGATTGGGGAGATACCAAACAGGAACTGAAGAGTGACTTTCCCTAATTGAGAAATTCACAGATACATTGATTATTTAAAGAACTCCCCAATGGGATGATCCCAAATGTGATTATCCCCTTGGGCTTTTCGTAAAAGAGAACAAACATGAGATGATATCACGTTTGGATATGTGATTACCCCATTGTGATATATTTTAGTTTCCTTATTATCTTTAGTTGTGAACCTAGTTCACTGGTGGCAGTTACACTACCAAAAAGGGGGTTATAAATCGGAATTGGAACATTACAACTAGGACTCACACAAGGGTTTTTACCTGGAGTCCACCCATGCCTATAAACTAAAAACTGACAGCAAACCGACTCCACGAGCACACTACCATAGCATCAAAAACGGAGCCCGGTTGCGCTGCAATCGTAACAACATTTTCATATCATTAATTAATTAATTTAAAATTGCTAATGTAATGACACCTAGATTATCAGAAGGTTATGAGTTTAGATTTATACTGATTTTTAGTCTTATAATGGATTTATTTGTATAACACATTGAATCATGGTTAAATAGCTGAGCATTATCAAAGCAATGGCAATGTATCATGGGAACTATACCTCCTTTGACACAAACACTCACCAACATTTTTAGTCAGTACAAAGTTTGAGGTATTTTTTAAGGTTCATTTTATTTTCATCTCAGAACAATAAATGTCCAGATTTTCATGCTTTTCCATGCTAAATAGGCTTAAGATGAAATTTTTGGAACTTGTTATTGGTATCAATAACAAATTCCTAACCCTGAAATAAGTGTAACCATCAGACTGTTGTCTGAACACGCTTTCGTTTTATGATCTCTCTTCCTATTATATAAATGCATTGTCATCTCGGCTTACTTATTATGCCTGGGTCACATTTGCCCCAATCCATCGGCCGGCACCCGCCCGATTGAGTGTTTTGTTCAATATTGTATTCAATTTTGAACAAAATACTCAATCGGCTGGGCGCCGTAGAGAAAATTGGAGTAAATGTGACCAAGGCATTACTGACAAAGAATTAAAAAATTAGTGCAAAGTTATTGGTACTAGTGGCATCTTGGTCTCAAAAGTGTCTCACATGTGTAAAACTGAACATAAAGTAGTAAATTAATGTAGTCTAGTAATAGATGTAGTAAGAAAATATAAAAACATTATGTAAACAATTAATGGAATAAAAATAGTAAAATGATAATGATTTAATAGTACTGTTATCTAATTTTGGTTCTTTGAACATTAGAGGCACTTGAAAGGATTTATATAATATGCATGTAGCTTTATTAATCCCACATCAAAGTGGTCATTTAAGAAATTTCAATTCATCATCTCAGTATATATAGAACAGCCTAGGAATCTACTTTAGAATTATATCATGATTTAATGATTTTCCCTTATTGAATTTGAAAAGACAAAAAGTTAATGAATGTTTATAGCTTATTCAATAATACTGCAATAATGTGATTTATGAATTACTAAAATCAAACAACAATGGCAATGGGGAGAAATGTGAATTGAAGGTGTGGATGTGGATGGGAGGTGACATTATAGTTTTGTATCATGCCCAATATTCATTGCGATTCATTTGTAAAATGTTTGTTGATGTTTTTCTCCACGCGCTACTGGATATCAAGCCATCAGGGGCGGATCTGGGTACCAACAAGGGGGGGGGGGCAAACTTCTGGTCTGAGAATAAAACTTCCGCGCTTGAGCGGAAAAAAATTTTGGGCCCCAAAAAACCAAAAGTGGGCCCAAATTTTGAAATTTTGAGGCCCATTTTCTTCAAAATTTGGCCTAAAATTAAAAAACAAGGCCTTAGAAGGCCAATTTATGACCAAAAAGGCCTACTTTTTGGGGCCTTAAAGCCTTTTTTGGCTCACAATTTTTTTTGGGTACAATTTTTTTTTCTGGGCCCACCCAAGGGGGGGGGGCCCGGGCCCCTGGGCCCCCCCCCCCCCAGATCCGCCAGTGAGCCATTATAATATTTCAAACGTATCTGCACAATATAATGCATCAGTTGTAAACAATTACTGCTGTTGATGTTGCATTGTAAAGAAAAATTTAACACTTCGTCAATTTAATGGTCGTCTTTTGAATGGTAACAATATAATTTGAAAAAAAAATATATACTTTCATCTATATTGTTTTAGAAAACACATCAAACACTTGTTTTGTTCTTGGTATCATGTTTCCAGAGTGAAATGAAACATCTTTCCGAACCTCATTGGAACAAAACGACATGTTTAGGTCTCTCAATATTGTAATTGTACAAAGGGAATTTTGTTTGATTTTAAAAAAAGTATCTTGTTAATGAAATAAAAGCTTTATCTTGATTTTTATCTTTTTAGGGGGATTTTGTTTTAATTTTTTGAATACTTTTTTAAAATCAACCAAAAATTCCTTTGTATAACTATAATATTGAGAGGTCTAAAAACATGTTGTATATGCTATTTTGTTCCAACAAGGTTCGGAAAGACATTTTATTTCATTCTCAAGAATTGGTAGAAAGGAGCAAAAACAATTGCACTAAAAAAACAAAAAATGTTAACAAAAACAGTTATATAAAATATTTCTACATAATTTTCGCATTAAATTGTTGTCAATCAGTTAACATTACATAAAATACCATGTTTTTTACAGAATGTTTTCAATAATTGGTTTAAGAGAAAAAAATTGTTGAATTCAGTTCTCCA